CTCCCCAGAGCTATTTCTGAAGCATGTTTCAGACTTTTGACTGGACGGGATTGGCATCGTGGCTGGGGACACGGTTCAGCACGGCCCCTCTGCAATGGTCGAATGCTCTTCGCGGCAACACTTTTATTGGCTCGAGCATACCTTGGACTCTGGACATCCACCACAGCAGAGGGAGACTCCGAGAAATGACGAGACCCAGTCAGGCTGTTGAACTGCCTAAAAGCCTAGAATCGCATCGGCTTTTCTTCTTTTTTTCTTTTTTTGCCTTGGCTTGTGGGTGATGACCTCAGTAGCATTGTCGGGCTCGTTATGTCATAGTATGAACCAGGCTGAGATGCGCCGTGTGAGCAGAGACTAAGAAGCTGAAAGACGTTTTCAGTGACATCGTCCCATGCCGAATCCAATGTGATAACCGGAGAGGCGTGGTACTAGAGACATTTGATGAACACGGAGGTAGGTCTTAGACAAACCGAGGACACAGAGGGGAAACAGTAGAACCGGATCCAATATCATGATTACCTGCTACCTCTGTTCCGTGCGACCAAGTGCCCGCGCCGCTCGAGCACATTGCCGCTCGGGTGCTTCCAGATTGAACGAGGCCACCGAGTTCGCCTCCAAAACCAGAAACCGAGTCGGTTGAGTCGACTGTTTGACCGTGTCGCCAAATAAATCAGCCGCGGGAACGTAACGTGCGAGTCGTCGGGGGCCTGTGGTTACTTCCGAGAGTCGGGCTGGCTGCATACGACCATGGACAAGTTCTAGTTGGTGTAAAGAGTTCGAGTGAACTGGACTTTGACTGTTCCCGGTGGAAGAGATGTCGTTGGTTTTGGATATCTCGCTGTCCTGCATATGCCGGGCTGGCAATGACGACTGTTATGTACTTTCCAACTGGGCTTATCCAACATTTACCTACAAAGCATATCCATTTTCCTGCCCGTCCACTAGAATGCCCATAAACAAGCCTTTGAGATTCGATGCTTGCGCCTGCAAAGGCCGAATGAGTTGAACGGGCACACGACTCGCCAGATGATCGCCTCGTACGTTGTGATTCCACACCGTGAATTCCACCATTCTGCGGATGGATATTTATAGAAAAAGCCGAACCGAGGAAGCAAAAATGGTCGAGATTTTGCTCCGGTCAACTCCAAAAAGAAGTGGAAGCTGCCCATGGGCCGGCCAAGTGGAAGGTACCTGAAGATCCAGATCCCAACGTCGAGCCCCGCTCTTAAGTGGGTGGGCGTTGAGGTGGGTGGGTGGCTCGTGCTCTTGCCGGTCACTACAGTAGCAACTTCATCACTGTCTAAATAACCTCAACCCCCGTTTGAAACAACATCAAGTGTCCGGACATCACCAGACTACCCATTAAAACGACTGCATGCGTCCGGATTGCTGTGATCTTCGATTCTGCCTTGCATCTTTCGGACAACCCGAATGTTTTTCTATAGCAATTTGGAGCTTCAAAGAAGATACCCTGCTCTCCATGCTAGCAAACAAAAACAACAATGCCCATACACGTACTGTGTTATTGTAAGCATCCTTGGTACTTAGCACATATAGTTCGGAGGGGGTCCTATAAGATGCCTGCCGTACCCTCAACTCATTTCCGACAACGCGGAAATTGTGGTGGTTCACGAACATGGAAGAGAGAACTTCCCCAGAAGAATCCTCGGGTCATACCGTTCGTACTGCCGTCTATTCAATCGGCTTTGCAGTCGGAAGACTGGATCATAGCCCCAGAAACTCCAGACACAAACGCGTAAATAAGCTGCGACATGTTCATCACTCGACAGGCGTTTATATAGCTGTTCTTTGTAAGAGCACTGAGACTCGGACAAGACTGGATATGATGACAGCTGACAACCGCAACTCTTCAAATTTCTTCGCTTCTTTTGGCCGTGTATCGCTAGTGGGCAAACCTGAACTAGCCTTGCAAACGGAATGACAATGGAACATTTCCGGAAAGGCGTGAGCATCACCAAGCGTTCTAGAAGGTGAACATCTCTGTTCAAAAAATATTCACGATATCATTACTAGCTTCCAATTTCCTCTCCAACATTGACACCAAAAGCAAGCATCGTAAAGTGACGTACTGTAGAGGTAGCAAGCCAGATGAGAAACCAAACACAATCGTATACGCCATGCAGCGGATGAGGCTCTCGTCATCTTAAATATCGTTGACCGGCCCTTGCCATAACACCAGCAGCTAACAACGCAGGATCAACAACAAGGCCGTTACGTCGCCTTTGATCCGATGGTGGTCGTTTATGAGCCCGCCATATCCCTAAGCCTCCGTTGTATATGCCATGGTATACTACGCCACTGTTTGCTCCACTTCAGCGTACGCCGGCCGCTGGACGCCGAAGTTGGAGGCTGTTGCCCACAGCTCTTTGAGCCGAGTCATGAGAAGAGTCCAGGTCGAATCCAGATATTCACGTAGGACAACAGACAGACGGCATGGTAAGGAACGGGATGATATTTCCAGCGTTAGGAACAAAGCCATTGGGACTTCCATGATGCTAGCAAGGAAAGGAAAAAATATCAACGCTAACAATTTGTCTTCTCACAGCAAGCAGAAACGGGAAAGAGAAAAAAGATGCAGAAAGACAAGTTGAACGTCGGCTTCCAGAGACAAGCTCATCCCAGCTTGCATCCCGGCGAGCATGAGTACCTACTACTGTCAAGGACCAGCCTATCAGAAGAGTCGCTTCTTGTGGTCTGACATCCACCCCGGTTAATGTAGCGCTGCTTTGATAGATGCACACCATAAGACCAGAGCATGTCTCTATGGCCACTCCCACCCGCAACTGCCACCAGAATAACCCACGGACCTTCTCGCGGTCCCGGTTGCCGCTCCTCTTCCTCCAAAAGGTGACGATGGATCTGGACTTCTCTTGTCCAGGTTGAAGAGACTAGACTGTTGGTAAGATTCGCCGTACAGGTCTTTTTGCTGTCCTTCCGCTGGGTTCCCCCTCTTTATTGCGCGTGATAGCCATTCGCTATGCTGAACAGGAATGAGTTGTTCCACGCTTGGACCATAGACTACTGGATGTTGGATTCCATTCCTGTCTGGCACCTTGCCTTGAACGTACCATCTTTTGCTGTAGCTGAGGGCGTTGACAGGTTGGGCCCTGGTACCCACGCCTCGGACGGGCCATTCCTTCCTGTCTTTGCCGTAATCCGTCCGTCTACGATTCTCCTTCACTAACAGCGAGTCTACAGTATTTACGCAGTGACTGACAAGATGAATAGGTAGAAACTTGATATTTGCTATGTCTGTCATCGGGTGTCTGTGATTTGTCTTTTATTGCCGCATGCCCCAATTGTCGCCTGTCTGCTGTTAGTGCTGCAACCCGGGCTCATAGCATGGGCAGCTTCGATAGGCTACAACCCTCTGGTGAGGAAAGCATAGCACAGCGAGCCACAGCAAGAGCAGCCATAGAGGTATCCATCCACTTAGATAGCACACCCCGGTCTGGCCTTCCCACTCTGGTTGGAGACTTGGGCCCCAAGCGAGAGAAAATCATTAAACCCCGTTGTTCGCCCATCCTTCCCCCCTCTTCGCTCCCTCTTGCTCCTCCTTCTCGTCGACCACTTTTCTTGCCATTTCCTCTCTTTTCCTTTTCAAGACTTCTTCTTCTCCAACCCTCTTTTTCCCTTTTCTGTTTCTGCTGCAAGAGGACCTTCCTACTTCGCACGGCCTTTTTCCCTGCATCACCATTTAAAGCAGGCACTACCGAGTAGACCTGTCTTGGACCTGGCTAGCTGCACTCGCTGCGCGCACGCACTTTCCCCAAGACGCTCTCTCCTTTTTTCCACTTGCTGGACTCACCACCCACCCACGAAGCATCGATTCACAAGTCGACCACATTCTCCCAAGTTCCAACCTCCAACCAGGGGCCGCACATACCGCACCCAATCTCCAGCAGCATCCCCCTCCGCTCTCCGCCGTTCCGTCACTGCTCCCCACACAACCCTGGAAAGACCGACCGTAACCATTCCTTGGGTCAGCATTGTTCCAATCTAAGTGGAAGCGACAAGACTTTTGCCTCTTTCCTCCTCTCACCACCATCACCACCACACAGAGGAAACTCAACATCTCGCTGCTCGATCACCCGGCCATCCTTGGGAGAATCCCGTTGATTGGTTTCGTTTCGCTCGCACCACCGCTGCAAGGGAAAAAAAAGAAGCAGGAAATTGTTAGGCTTAATTCACTTCAACCTCCACCAATTGTATCTTGTTCCCTTATACACGAACGACGGTCAGGTCTCCGGCATTTAGGCCCGGCACGCACCCGATCTTCCCACCTCTTCCACCGGCCGACCACGACGTCGCCCAACGGCTTACTCGAACAATAACCCCGTCGCGGCTGCTCCCGGAGTGCATTGTCGACGACAACCCGAACCTGCGCATTCTCCCGCGTGCACGATTCATTGTACAAGCAGGTCGAAAACGCCTTTCCCGTCAGCACCCTGGCTGGTTCTGGTCACTTTTTCGCCTTCTTCTACATACACGCACATCGCCCTCGAGGCCGACAGTCGAAAGGTCTCGCACCTTGATAACATTCGCTTGAGGCGCTTGGGTTGAATCGCATCTTTTGCTTCCTTCCACTGTATCGCGGGCTGGTCTCGGATCACGAAAAACGCAAAAGACAAAGATACGACAACGCATATACCACGAAAAGCGATTTCTTACCAGTCGCTTCTTCTCCCCAAAGAAACATACATAAGATATACAGAGGCAGCGCCTCCCATCCCCCCCTTTCGCACCCTCCGCGACGATCGCTTATTTGGCGATAGTCTTGCTTCGCCGCACCTCAGCTCTTTTTGGGTCGCGTTGACGCTACCCACTGCACTATCTATATCGCTCCTCGCTTGCGCCACAAGCGACTGCAGATCGAGACATCGTTCCCGGTCCATCGCAATACATAATCACAGACTATCCGTGATTTGCGACGGCACTTTTCGCGATATTTTGTTATCAAGGAGGTTTTTGAGCTTGGAATGTATCCTTCGCAGCATGCCAATATGGCTGCCGCTTCGCAAAAACCCGAGACCTTCATGCTGAGCACTGAGGCCCAGCAAGCACTTCCGCATGACGCCCAGGTAGCTCTGCAGCAGGTTGATAACCGTACGTACATGAATGTGCTCCCCTGAAATGTGTGCTTTGCTAATATAGCTTCCGCCGATTAGTCAAGTATTTCCTCATTTCCGCGCCCGTCGACTGGCAACCAGACCAATACATCCGGAGATTCCTTCTGCCCACCGGCGAGTATGTGTCCTGTGTGCTATGGAACAACCTCTTCCACATCTCCGGCACCGATATTGTGAGGTGTCTGTCCTTCCGCTTCCAGGCTTTCGGCCGCCCCGTGAAGAACTCAAAGAAGTTTGAGGAAGGTATCTTCTCGGATTTGCGTAACCTGAAGGCGGGAAGCGATGCCTCCCTCGAAGAGCCCAAGAGCCCTTTCTTGGACTTCCTGTACAAGAACAACTGCATCCGAACACAGAAGAAGCAAAAGGTGTTCTTCTGGTACAGCGTGCCCCACGACAGGCTCTTCCTTGATGCGCTCGAGAGAGACCTCAAGAGGGAGAAGATGGGCCAGGAGGCGACAACGGTTGCCGTTAGCGAGCCTGCCTTGTCCTTCCAGTATGACTCGTCCCAGTCGCTCTTCGAGTCTCTCACCAAGGCCCAGCAGGCCAACTCCTCTTCCTTTCCGGCCCAGCAACTAGCCTTTCAGTCCCAGTCCACCTCGCCCATCTTGCGCGCCGCCGACTCGATGCCTCCCCCTCAAATGATGCAGCCGATGCCATCGCAGATGATGCAGCCAATGGGACAGAACATGGGACAGCAAATGTCTCAACCCCTGTCCCAGTCCATGTCCCAGTCAATGGCCCCTTTGTCCGATGGTTTGGAGGCCATGGTCTCTTACGGAGCGATGACCATGGGGCCCGCGATGACCTGCCCTCAGCCGATGGTCAAGCGGGAACCTGATTATGGTCGTGTTCAGTATACCCAGAATGGTGTTCCCATCACTCAGGTACATCAGCGACACGCTTCCATGCCTCCGTATGGCCTGGAGTGCTCGCCCGCCCCATCATTCGTCTCCTCGCACTTTGAAGACTATAGCCAGAGAGGACTCTCCTTTGAGCCCTTGACGCCTCCTCATCAGCAAATGGGTGTTATGGGTGAGCCCGCTTACATCGCCAACGAGGAGACTGGTCTTTATACTGCCATCCCCGATCACCTCAATGCTGGTGCCCTCAATGGCATGATCCAGCTTCCGCCATCCAATCTCGCGGCGCCGTCGTACCCCCGCTCGTACGGATCTAGCAGCATGTCTCAGGATCCTTCGAGAGGGTACTCTCCCATGGCCGCCTACACAGTGATCGAGGGCTCGCCAACCTACAAGCAAAGGAGGAGGCGCTCTTCCATTCCCCCATCAATTCTGTCTGCTACGACAGCAATTGCGGCGGGCACTCCTGCTGTGTACAAGCCATCGGATCTCCGGAGGTCCGTGTCTGCCTCTGTCGGTCCCGTGGCCGAGGGTGATGAGTCTGCGAACAACTCTCCCCCTGGGTTGACGTACAGCAATCCTGCGATCAACATGGCCCGCCAGCAGCACCACGAGATGCTCGAGCTTTCGAGGCATGGTACGCCCTTGTCCACTGTCGAGGGAAGCCCTGCGCTTAACCCTATGAATCTTCCCATGGGTCAGAACTACGGTCCGCTTAACGATGACGAGCTTGCTCCTATGAACGAGCGGCAGATGTCTCAGGGTCACCCCGGTGTGATCCGTCGCGCCCGTTCTGCCACGGTCTCGGAGCTTGGTCCTTATCCCCAGAAGTCGCACTCTTGCCCCATTCCCTCATGCGGTCGTGTTTTCAAGCGTTTAGAACACCTTAAGAGGTAAGACTAGAACTAATCCTTTGGATACCCTACCCTCCTGTCGCAATTCTAACCTAGCCTTTTCCATTTAGACACGTGAGGACACACACTCAAGAGAGACCCTACGTCTGTTCATACTGCCAAAAGGCCTTCTCCCGATCAGACAACCTAGCACAGTATGCAACATCCTTTCTAATTTCGTACACCTCAGCACACATCAGTTGCTCAAGAGGGACGTTGAACAACGATGCTGACCGATATTTCTCTAGGCACAAGCGCACTCACGATCGCGGCGACGGTTCTGAGGGTACCTCGGCCCTCTCTGGCGAGGAGGAAGAAGAGTATTCCTCGCCAACATCCGAGGGCGGGTACGTTCACGGCTCGGGAGCGCCCAGCAACGGCAACAGCTCGACACCCCAGTCAAGCATGTACAACAACCTCCAGACGCTGAGCATGCCCATGACAATAAGCGAGCCCCAGCCAATCAACACAGGCGAGATGATGCGAAACGAACTAGAGTTCTAGGATTTGAGCAGTCTTCTAGGCAAGGACTGACTGTGTATGTGTGTTTGTTGTACAATCAAAACCGCCGGAGGTCATGACGGAGCGTTTCATGTTTGGCTTTGGTTCTGTTTTTGTTATATATCCGGATGGGCATGGGGGATTAGGTCTGTCATCACGGCTTATGAGTCTGCCTTTTTTTCCCCATAAAGGCGCGAGACTAGATTTTTTTTTCTTTCTTTTACTTCTTGTTTTCTCTGGTTGGATGGCTATCCATGACCAAAAGGGAAAGGGGTCTTTTAGGGGTTTTGTAGGAAAACCTTATAAAGACCCTGCATTTTCTTGTCATTTACTTTCCACTTTTCCCTCTCGATTTGAGACTTTTCATCTTTTTTTTTATGTCATGCCTCTTAGTCATGGAAAAATGACAGATGGAAACATGGTTTATGAACGAACAAACGTTGTCCGCATGCATGACTGCTTCTATGTGTCTGATGATGTGTTTCGTGAATGCCTGACGTCGATACCTATATATGGTGGAGGTAGTTGAAGGTAACGTTAGCTTAGCTACAACGGTGAAAGAGAGCTTACCTCGGGCCGCGCCGTGGAAACCAAGGCTCTTGCGGAAAGCCTATCGTTTCTCCAAGGTCACGTCAAAAAGAGAAAGGAAACTGCCCGAGCCTATGAGTTGAAAGAATTACGAGCACTAATCCATCTGACAATGGATACGGTACACCGGCGGGACGGGCCGAGGCGTGTGTACTGTGGTGTTGGTGTTTCTTTTGTGCTTAGTTGAACGAGCAATGAGTGGGCGGATGCCGGATGGAAGAATAGCTGAAAGAAATAGAGTGCGCATGTGAAAGGTACGTGGCGAAACATGGTGCGACGGCTACCGGACAAAATCACAGTCGATGGGTACAAATAGTAACACGTTTTCTACAAAGCTTTCAGCGAGGGATGTGTGCGAATCCTGGTGGGTGGTTGAGCTTGTTATTAATTGATTCTGGTACTTACCTATAAGCGCCATCATGCCGTACCTTGATCGGCTCACGGTCGAGATCTTCCACGCAACTGGTTGCTTCTCTACAATCAACAAATGTCAAACACTGAAACGTTATTAAGAAGAAAAAGAAATCATATGCTGTCCCGAATTATTGGACAAACCAGGATCTTGGAAGGTCGGCCAATGTAGATAGATGGATATCTGATTCCGAACAACATCTCATCAGGGATGAGTATACAGACCAAAACTAGGTAGGTGTTGGGAGAACGGGCATACGTTCGCCAAACTGCCGCCGGACACTCGATAACAGCTTAACAACGGCGCTTGATTCTGAGCTCGAGTTCCTGACATACCATTCGCATATGCAGCTCAACCTGCAGATGTCATTATTTTTCAGGATTATGCACGCCGAACTTCGCAGGAGTGGCGATGGGTACATATATCCGCTTCCATATTCATCGGTTTCCTCTGCCAGCGCGCATCTACATCTTCAAATGTTCTACCGGCGCATAGCTGCCACGTATTCTTTCTCCTGTTCTTCATTTTTCTCGACGAGGTTCATATTCTTCCGTATCCCTCTCTTCCCTTTTAATTTTCCCAGTAAAATTAAACAACAGAACGAAACTCACGGAAACTCTCTGGATACAACCACCACGAAATAGACCGCACTCCTAAATTCTCTTCCCTTGTTTCTTCAGTCAGCTCCAACAAGAGGCATCAATACTAACCGTACCAAAATCATCGCCATCACCGTCAAGATGCTCTCCATATACCCCGTCGATATCCGTTTCTTCCCCGCTCCCCCGAATCTCCCCTTGGTTCATCCTTTGGGGCCTCTTATGCTCCGCCCTCCTCTCCACCTCCCTATCCTCCTACATCTTCCCTTCCCTCTTTGGGCATGCCACTACCGACAACAATACCCACGACCACATCATCGAGACGTCCGTAGCCGGAGGACCCAAACTCGGCCTCGACCGTATCGTCCAGATCGCCAGTAACGACATCGCCGCCCGCGTCCAGCACATTGTCCCTGGCCCAACTCTTTCGTCTCCAACAACTCCCACCATCGTCACAACAACCTCTACTATTTCCACCACCACCACCACCACCACCACCACCACCACCACCACCACCTCGGCTCTCAAGCCCCTCACCACCCGACGCCCCCGCCTCGGCCACTCCCCCTTCCTAACCCGCCGACAGGAAGAAGACCCCGACGACGACCGCCTCGACGAAGACGGCTTCCCCAATTTCGGCGATGACCTCGCCGAGGAGTGCATCAGCAAAGAAGTCAACGTCTTCGAGCAGCCGATCCAGACCGTGCATCTGCAGGACGTCCGCCCCTTTGCTTTGGGCGAAGTGAACGACATCCCCGGCGTGTTCGCGGCGTGCGCGAGGCCTTGCATGAAGAGGGCCGTGGAGCTGAACACCGACTGCGAAGACCCGCTAGATCTGGAGTGCACGTGCAGACCGGAGGTGAGGGCGGTGATTGAGGCTGCGAGCGATGAGTGCTGCTGGCAGAGGCTTGTGGGGGTGGGGTGCCGGAGATTATGTAAGTCTTTCTTGTCTCTTTTACTTCTTTTTCTTCGTCTTTTGGTTCATTTGCTTGCTTCCCTCGTTCCTTCCCTCGTTTCTTCCTTCCTTCATCTTGTTCGTGGTCTAGGTAACGGTATGTGATGGCAGGGCCAGATAAACATTGTTCGTTGCGTCGGTAGCGGTCGGGTGGTACAGTTTTCGTAGGCATGTCTCTCAAGAGTGGACGGGTCGGTTCGACCCTGCTCCGGGCCGCTGAGCTTTTTTTTGGCGGTCTTTTTCTTAACCTCCTTTTTCCGGCTTGCGCATTGATTGATAATTTTCAATCAGGGTTTGAAATGTGGGTGTTCTTGTCTTGTGCATCGCTCACTTGATCAATATTGCCGTGATTGTCTTTGATATTGCGATGATTTCGGTGTCGCCTCTACCTATATGTATGCAAGTGGTAAACACCACGGCGCTCGCATGACCACTTCATTCTTTTTGGTGCGATTATAAGTTGTAGTAGGCAAGTCATATTCAGCGGCCTATTCGACTAAATGGCACAGACAAGGTGCGATGGGGGTTAATATGCAAGAATATATATTCATGAATGCTAAAAAGCGAACGCTATTCCCATGCAATCATCTTGATAATTTATGAACAAGAACAACAGACCTGTGCTTTTCAAACCATTCCCATCCATTTCGCTTTTCCCATCCTTTCCTTTCCGTTTTCCTACTCTTCTTTCTTTTCTCTTTCTCTTCTCATCCATCCACCCCTCACAACCCCAAAAACACCATGGCAACCCCCACCAACAACCCCCAAGCCATGCCCATTCCAACCCTCAACTCACCCGCCGCCCCATTCTGATATATCCCCCCTTCATCCTCAGTAAATCCACTCGTAGCCTCCACCGGATTCCTCACCGCCTTTGCGCCGGGTACCCCCCCTTTACCCTTCTCAATCTCCCTCACATCTGTCGTCGTGGCGTTAAACCTCGTCTGCGCCATCGAGATCTCGTTGTTGTCCAGATCAAACACCACATACGCGCTGCGCAGGAAAGTGTCGCCCAGGGTGTTGCTTCCCGTGCCGTTACGTTCCTGGATGCCAAAGAGACAGGCGTCAGTGACGCCGTCCGGCATGCGCGGGAGTTTGCCGTTGGTGGTCTGATTGAGGACGAGCTCGTCTATGGGCACGGTGATTTGCAGCTCAGAGGAGAAGGAGAAGATGACGGATTGCGAGGAGGATCTGAGAGAGCAGGGAACGTAGCCGTCTAGGTCGCCTTGCGGGTTTGGCATGACTGTCACGCCGATGGCGTCGTAGAGGGGTTCGACGAGGTCGCGGTGGAGATAGGTGAGGGTTGAGCCGGTGTCCAAGAGAACGGCAAGGGCGAGATTGTCTTCGGAGACCTGAGTGGTGTTGCCGCCGTCGGCGGAGGAGGAGGGGGAGTCAGACAATGAAAGGCCAGTCATGGTGACCATGAGGTTCTTGTACACGCCCTTTTGGGGGGTTTGAACGGGCAGGGTGAGCAGGTCGCCTTCGTACTTGGCGGGGTCAACGCCTCCGAAGAGAATGGTACCATAGGGGGCATCGAGGTCGTTGAGCCAGATCGAGTAGGCATTAGAGTTGATCAAGCCATCGGCGACCATTTGCACCGGGAGATTGTTATAGGCTGGCAAACCGGCGCGGGTTTGCACTACGCTCAGGGCGTACCCAATACCGAGTAGTCCCTGCGGGTTAGTTGAAGAGTAGCCGATGCCAAACTGCAGTCGGTTCAGTTTGGTATTGTCGCCGATGGTGAAGGTATCGGCGGCATAACCCCCTCTGGCGCCAGAGCCATCCACATACGTGATGTCGAAATTGTTGCTGATGTACTCATATGTAGATGAATCATTGGCAGAGTAGGTCCCCGAGTAACTGCATGGTCTGGATTTTGCCTGACAGAGACTTGAGCTGGGAGCATTCACCCAAGTATCTGCAGAGCCTGTGTCGAGATGCAGTGAAAATATCCCTCCGGGCGTACCAATCGTCACATTAATATAGTATCCACCTATCTAAACCTCGGTATTAGCCAGATATTCCAGCAGAATGTTGGAAGGGTAAAACCTACGACGTTCTCCAATAGGATTTCACCCTGTGATCCTCTCCTTCGTAACCTGTCCCGGGCAACGGGGTTTGGGACGAAATGACGTTCTGTTCGCAGACTGACCACTTTCGGGCCACCTGCATCTTCCTTTTGTCGAATGGTGAAGGCTTCCGTCGTTGATAGAAGGGATGCCGCCAAGGCCAATATCTTCGTTGTCCTCATCCTCACGGGTTTTCCTTTCCCTTTTGCCCCTTGAGCTACTTGTTTCCAAGAACGACGTTGACAATCTTGTGTATCCAACTTTGGAAATGTCGCAAGGCCCTCTGGTATCCAAGCTTCAAAAAGGATGTAGATGATAATACAATATAGTGAAACAAAAAAATAATATATGACGAACGGAAGGGGAAAACTAATGTTCCAGGAAACAGTTGCGCGATGGGATAGGCAGTGCTAAGTAAACAAAAGAAGAATGCGAGGTGCTTTTTGATAGGACTCGGATAATTGTGATCCAAGTAAGTCGGACTAAGTAAGCTCCTCAACGTAGGCCAAGAATTTGGTTACGTCCACAAAAGCAACCCGAGAAAGCAAGGCAGACCTTGGCCAACTGAGAAGAACAGATGGCACGTAGGATATGCAGGACAGTTCCAGCGGCCGTACTGTTATAAACCAACACCTCGAAACTGGCTTGAGTGACAATATTAGTATAGAGGAAGTAAGAGAAAAAAGAAGGATATGATATGGGATTAAGACAAAGGTTTAGCAACTAAAGAAAAATAAAGCTGTGAGAATCACATCAGATGAAAAGGGATAGCCACAAGGACACCTTTTGTCCCATATAGGCAAAATCGATTGGATGATAGGAAGATGAAAAGGAAACGAAACTCTACCGAAGATAAAGGTAAAGATGAGGCAAAGCCGGGCACACTACCGGTAGGCCGGGGGGAATGTTCTTCAAGAAGAGAAAGAAAGCCCCACGAAGTTCCGGCCCCCTACGTGTAATGGGATCCATCGACAGGGGCTGGGGCAGTAACTGAAAAGTGGAATGTGATGATTGACTTTTGGGAAAACCAAACGGCAATGGCCTCCAGCTCCGGTACTATCAGAGGAAGGAAAGGAATCCCGCCCCAATGTGCCGCCAAGGTGCCTCTAAGAAGCCAATGTTGAAAGGAAAGAGCTTGATTTGTCTATATCTGGGGAAGATGGTGTGGAAAAAGAGATGTGACAGGTGCCCCTGCGCCTACCACATTGTCTGCTTTCGGTTCCTGGCGGTTAGACGTCGAGAAGGCTGTGTATGTATACCTCAACTGGTCCTCCAATTCTTGGGCGGCATAACCATGATGCGTACCTAGCCTTGTGGGCTGAGATAAACGAAAGGATCCAGTGGACGTAAACTGCAGCTGGTGTTGAGCCGTTGGGGCTGAGGCTGATGCAGCACACATCCTGCCTGTGCGACCTGATGTTGCCACATCTTGACGACAATAATGTCCCTGATGGGCTGAGTGAGCCGAGGTGGATTTTCTCTCGGTGAAGATGCCGACAAGATGGTGAACGGAGAAGAGCGAGCGAGCGGAATGATGGCAGAATGGAAAGTGGGAGAGAGGGTCCGAGACGATGACGACGGATGATCACTGGGCCAGTCTTGGCATGCTTCCTTGTGTTCTTCCACCACTGCTGGGACCACGGAAAGACGAGGTTTGGGGGCCTGAAACAACCTGGGAAGTTGGATGCCAAGACGAAACTCTCAGAGCCGGATCTTCCACAATTTTGGCAATTTTGATACACGATTGTGGTGCCTGGCCGGGGGACCTCACCAGAGGCATCAGGGAGCTGAATGGTCGAGATCGAGGTTCGACAGGCTATTTGGGGTAAGTGATCGACAACGCTCTGTTCCCCTGAATCGCCGAAGGGATAAAAGTTTAATTCAGACGAAGAAAGGCTTTGTCCCTGAAATCGTCTGAATTCATCTCGTGATGGTTTCCCTGTCTATTTTGATTGACAAATAGTAACAGCTTGGAGCCAGAACCTTGAATGCCATATGGCCTCTGTCTCCAAAACAATGTTTGATCAGAGATACGTGGGGAAACACTAGGATTCCGATTGTCCTGGCGATGAGAAAATGCACGATTCCCCATGTGTTAGGGGCGCTTAAGTTTAGCGAATGTAGCGACTCTTGGAAGCCCTTGTTAGCGCCCGTTAACAGTTTAGCGTGCTGGCTGAGCTTGGTGACAGCTTCCACATGGTCCAATTTCCGGTAATTTGCACGTGCCTGTTAGTGGCATTCCCCCCTGTAGTGGAGACCAATTCGTGCAGGCGAAGTTCTTTTTCCCGCTCTTGTCGGGTCGATTCAACCGCAAATCATTTGACGTGACGGTGACCCAAAAGCGCACTGTTGTTTTTGACTTTACACTTTCAGTCTGGACTCCATGTGGAGAGACGGGAGTGCGATGAGCCAGCTGTTTGAAGGCGAAAACACGGACGCCGCAGATTTTGAATCCGAATTGACCGGCCGGAGATCCGAGACCGCATGACCCTGCGTTCTTTGAGGCGCTGTAGGGTTGTGACGCAAGTCCAGCAGGAGTAAGGAAGGCATGCATGCTGTTAGCAGCAAAGGGAAGTTCGGAGATTGAGGTTCACGGCCATTGGCGATGTTGCGATGACGAGATTCACACTCATCGAGTCTCCAAGGCTTAGTCCTCAGGTGATGACGGCCAAGGATGTGTGTTGGCGGCGTCGATGGTGACGTTGAGCATCTGACTTGTGCCGTTTACCCAGATTTTGACGTTCATACAATCACTGACGACAAGAATCGTCTGTTGGCAGTTTGGTGGTTGTGTCAGGCTGTTCAACGGTGCCGTTTATCCAGATTATGACGTTGATAGGTACAGCCACTCTCAAGCCGCAACACTGTGTCTTATACCCGTTGGGGAGGTGGTTGGAGTCCGAGGTGTAGTAATCTCTATCCGAGATGTTTAACCATTGGTGAACCGCCTGAGATCTGAGTATGATACTAACTCACTTTCAGCGTCGTCAAGGTGTAAAATATTTTTCTCGCTGCCAACGGACACAATGTGTAACCGAGTTGGTCGAGCTGGATATTGCCTAACACTGTTTCACGAATAAGGCTGTTGTGGAACATTAGAGCCGCACGCTTACATCAAAAAAGGAAATGAGAAAAAAGAGACCATTGGTCGTTACGACGATCGTCATCAGACAGAGAAAAGTCTTTCCATCTTCCCAATTAAAATTGCACGGGGGCTGGATAGGAAGCTTACGGACATGTCTCGGTGTGAGAGTTCCGGCACTGTGGTTCGGCAACGTTGTCCCGACTCGGTGAGACAGAGCTAAGTGAGAAAAAAAAGTTCCGTCCACCGACGTCCGGGAACTGTTGTTGTTGTTATTTTTAACGTCTACTTCCGCCTCCCGTAGGGCATGAGACGTGCCGCACCGGTGAGTCTAGCATACAAAATTAAGAGCAATGCCCTAACTGTCCACCAAAACCATTAATCCGAGGGCAAACCGAGGCCTATTGCAAGTGTAAATCATGTGTTGTCCATAGCGTAAACGCGGCTCAACACTTATAATCGAATCGCCCAGTGAGCGAGCCGCCAGTATATGACGGAGTCCGGGAACTGTGAAACAGAATGAAGCGCAAAGTGTAGTTGGCATTGAGAGACCCAGAATAGTATCGTTGATCAATATTGGGAAGGTTTTGATACCCAACTGTGGGAAAGAGCTGAGAGTACGGTGCTGAAGTAGCGCTTAATGTTTTGTAGAAGATTTGAGAAGAACTGTGTCAGGTCAAGGGGAAGAAGGAAAAAAAATTCATAAAAATTCGAAACCTGCCCGACCAAAGATGGGAAAATACGGTCGATTGAAGGCTGAATGAAGATAAGGAGAGAAAGCGCTCGTCAATCGGGGATCAAAATACCAGTACATCCGCGGTAGGAGTGGTGGGGGACGACTGCCTCATGGAGACAAGGAAAGAGCTCCCGTTGGTGTTAGTGAAGATGGGAGACTGCAAAGTACGGCTCTTGAAAAGACGGGTGAGAGGTCGAACCGAAATCGCCTTTGCCAGCTGAAAATTGGAAACGTGTTTGGGAAAGGTACAGTGGAAGGACGCATTCTCTTTTCGCACCTCAAAACATGTAGGACGACCTGCTTCTGGATTAAACCACTTTTCATTATGATGGGATTGACCGACGAAATAGTTTCGAAAATAACAATTCTGTGCAAAAGCTAACGTATATACTCTCCAACGACCAAATCCTCCAACTAGAACCCTCGCGGACATAACGAGACATTCCCTTTGTCACGTCACCCACCCAGCCTCTATTTGATACTCTTGATGCTCTTCTCCAGCTGCTTCACGCTCTCCCTCACCTTGGGGCAATAATGTTTTCTCAACAGCTCGCCCTCCCACACCGTCGACGCGAACGGGTTGCTACCCTCCACCGTTGCCGCAAGCGGCTTATACGTGCCGTCGCCCTTCCTCTCCTCCGTGTTCCAGAGAGAGCTGATCTTCCTGCCGTGCGTGTGTAGCACGTCGGCGAGCAAGCCAAGCAAAGCTTGGGCGGACTTTTCAGGCACCTGGAGCGACCCAGACATGAGCTGCTTCGTGAAGGCGGCCAGACGGAGAGGCGCCACGGAGCGGATGTTCCAGGGAGGCAGTAGGATACCGCTCAGACACTTGACGAGCAGCACGGTGGTGGTCTGCAGGTTGATGCGGTTGTTGCGGCGCACGCTGTTCTGGAGCTGGAGCGACTGGGCGCCGAGCTCGAGGTCCGGGTTGACGGAGAGAGAGAGAAGGGACTGGAAGAGGTGAGTGATGAAGAAGGAGAGGTCAAGGTGAAGATCAGAGCGGGCGTTGTGGGCATCTTGGCCTTCAAGAAGAGCGAAGGCGGTGACAGTGCAGAGGAGCGCCTCGCGACTGGTGTCACGGACGAACTCATGCTCATCATCTTCGTCCACCTCATCCTCCTTATTTTCGTCATCCGAGTCATCGTCCTCCTTGTTAGCGTCCATTTCGCTATAACGAATAAGGTCTTTTAGGGCCTCAAGGAGATCGCCAAAGAAGTCCTGGTTGATCAGGTGGGAGTATCTGGCCAGACCCTCAAGACAGGCACCCATGAGGTTCGGGATGCGCATCTTGAGGATGCGGAAGTACGAGGCGAAAACCATCTTGAGCGTTTCGGACTGCATCCGCTCGCGCTCCTCGTGACTGACAGCCGCATCGGCGTGGGCCATGACCTTTTCAGCCTCCTTCTGCTCTTTGAGAAGCTTGCGCTCGCGCTTGGTGCGGAACTCCTTCTTTTGCTTTTGCTTCTTAACCGACCCATCATCCTGCTTCTCCACCGTGTCTCTGGAAGCTTTGCCGGAGAACTCGTCAAGCAAGCGCAGGTGGAGGAAAAGGTTGAGGATGCTCTCGTCAACCTGGTAGTTACGAGCCTTCATCATCTTTGTGAGTACCGAGATGGCCTCCATGGCGGGTTGACCATCCTCATCCTCGTGGAGCAGGGTCTCGAGAGCAGTCCGGCACTTGACAAAGTCCTTGTCGATATTTCGGTAACTCAGCTTCTTGATGATGATCTTGAGAAGCTCGCCGCGGAAGTTGAAGTGCGGTACCGCGTTCAAAAGAGTGCAGGCGCAGGTAAGGGCGATGCTGGTGATGGGCTGCTTTGCCCCCTTGTCACGAATAGCTCCGCCGGCAAGGGCAGCGAGGGTCTTGATGTACTGGTAGTAACCGGTAACCATGGCCTGCTCGTAGACGCGTAACCGCTTGACATCCTTGGACAGCTTCTCCTTGGCCACATCCTCCGAGGCCGGCCTTATCCTGTAGCCAGGAATGACATCCTTGTAGACGGTCATCTGGACAACAATGGCGAGCTTCTTGATGGCGAGAAGATCCGACTCTGAAAACTTGGCGAGCGCCTTGAAAGCACCCGGGTGCTCCTCTGGGTCTTCGTTGAGTTGCGTTGCGATCTTGGCCATTTCCTCCTGGGCTCTCCTGATCTGTTCCTTCTCGGGAATCTTGGGTGCTTCCGGCTCAGGCTGAACCTCCTCCTCCTCAGGGGCCTCCTCTCCTTCACTCTCTAGCCACTCGGCATCGCTGGCAATCTCGGCATCCTCCTCCTCCTGCGTAACCCAGGTTCCCTCGGCGGCCCTGATGGGCAATTTCGTGGCATCGGCAAGCTTCTTCTGCTTCTTCTGCTTTCCTTTCCTGGGGCGGTTTTCATAGTCCTCCTCGAGGTTCCAGGTTTGCGCACTCTTGAAGAACTGCTTTTGAATTTTGACGTCGCTGGTTGGTGCGCCTTCCGAAGACTGAGCTCCATCGGCCAGCTTCCTCCTCTTGGAAGGATGGGAAGACATGATGGTGGCTGGTGATGGATGATCTGTGTTGTTACAGGTTGTGAGACGGTGTGAAGTGAACTGAGAACAGTGAGTGTGGGTGATTGATGTATGCTGAAGACAGACTGAGGTGAGGTGCTGGGAGCGGTGTTCTGTAGTGGAGATGGGTATCGATTGATGGTTCTTCAATGAGAGATGAGCTCAGGAACATTTTCCAAACTTTTTGGACCCTGGCCGCCAATGCTGGGGTCTTATCAGTGAGCTGTGGTTGGCCAACCCCGCTTATCGGACCCCACCCCTTGGAGAAAAAAAAGTTGCTGAACCATGAACGGCCCTTGAACTGCACTTCACTTTGCGATTGAGTGCATGCGCTGGAGCTTCGAGTGGCCGGATCTCTCTCCAACTCTGAACCTCCTTCCATCCCAAATCAACCTCCTCTCTCCAAAACATCACCACCGTCGCAGCAAAGAGAGACCGCGGCAATCTCTTTCTCGACAATTGTACATATACATACAACATCCAGTATCCATAGTCTCTACCCCACGATAGACGATCGAGACTGTGCCCTCCCCGTCTCCCACCACGCGCCGCAAGGCCGACTGAACTCCCACTTTGCGACGCGATCGAAATATCGACGTCAACCTCTCCTCACGATACCATACGATACCCATATAGCCGAAAGATAGGAAGCAATACACAGCCATGTCGTCATTGGCCTCCCAGTTGGCCCAGATCGCCGCCAACTCGCGGTCGACCCTCAACACCAAGGTCCTCAAGGCCGCCCACTCCAAGTCCTTGATCTTCGAGCCCCGCGTCGCCGCCACCCAGACATACCCCGAGATCTACTCGATATGCCTCGAAGGCTTTGAAGAGCTATGCAATCTTGATTCACGCTTCGCCAAGTTTGCCCAGTCGCTATGGAGCGAGCAGAGCCAGGAGGCCGACAGGACACAGATGACCGCTGCTGAGAACGCTGCCCTCGATAAGCATGTTGAGGCCTTCCTCCACCTCTGTGGCAGCAGGTTGCGTCTCATGCCCACCATCAAGGCCATTGAGTGGTTGATTCGCCGGTTCCGCATCCACGAGTTCAACACCGCTGCCCTCATCGCTACCTTCCTCCCATACCACACCATCCCGGCCTTCGTGACTTTGCTGTCCATCCTGCCTGCCAACATCCCTAAGGAGTACCGCTTCCTCGACCCCTACATCCGCTCTCTGACCGCGCCCCCTCGCGCCGCCATTGTCCAGCAAGCGACGAACCGCCCCGAGCTTCTTACCGCCATCTCCCAGTATACCCTCGACTCTTGCAAGTACCAGATGGAGTACCCCGGTCTCATCTCGTTCTGGGGTGGTGTCATGGTCGAGGCCACCAACGGTCTGCTCGACAAGTACCGTTCCGGCAGGAGAAGCATCCAGATCGAGAACGACAACGCCCTCATGCAGCAGCTTGCCCCTGTTCTCAGCGATGCCATGGTCATGAAGAGCTCCCCTGGTCTCCAGATTGCCAGCTACATGGTGGTCACAATTCTTGCTGCCAAGGGCGGTCTTGCTGACAATGCTCTTACGGCCTTCATGGACCAGCTTGTCCATGGCTGGACTCCCGAGACGATGCGCCCTGGTCTCGTCACCCTCTGCATCATCTCCCAGCACCGCTCCGCCAAGCAGCTTTCTGCCAGAGTCACCAAGGCTCTCCTCAAGGTTCCCGAGCTTGCCTCCGTTATGAACCAGATTGGAAAGGACCACAGAGTCGATAAGCTGGCCAACGGCCTTGCTCTTGCCTTGGTCGACAGGCTTCACAAGAAGGGCGATGTTCGCAGTCTGCCTGTGGTCAACTCGCTACTTCTTGGCAACGTTCTCCGTGAAAAGCAGATCAAGGTCGTCTACAAGTCTCTATTGGTTGCTGCCCACAGAATCAACGATCAGGTTGATCAGGATGGCGCGATTCGCAAGGAGCTTGGCACCATTCTGGTTAGCTTGTCCCAGGCTGGTGGCGAGGTTGGTGATATCGTCCGTGCCACCATCGAGGAGGTTGACTTCGACATTGATGCTCTTGAGTTGACTCTTGGCGCGTCTATTCGCCCCAAGCTCGCCGTTGAGGATGCGCCCGAGGCCGCTGCTGAGGACACCACTCCCAAGGTGGACAAGGAAGCGGAACTCGCGCAGAACTTCGAGAAGCTCTCCAAGCTCAAGCCCCAGTCTGCTTCGTGCTTCGCCGAGGAGCCTCTTGATCTTCTCGAGGAGCTCTACTCGCTCTTTTTGTCCGTTGCTGCCAACGAGACTAACCTCCAGAAGTTCGATGAGGCCCCCGTTCTCAGCCACCCCCAGGCTCCTACCAGGCTCTTCTATGCCAGCTTCTACATGCGTCTCTGGTGCGGCTCTCTCCCCACTTTGGCCAAGGTTGCCGCTCTTGAGCGCGTCAAGAATCTCCTGAAGGACGATGAGTTCTCCAAGTTGGACTTCCAGGCCGTCGTTCCCTATGCCATTGTTGCTCTTAGCGACCCCGCCAAGAAGGTCCGTCGGGCCGCTGCTGAGCTGATCACTGTTCTCGGATCTTTCTACCAGACCAAGCCCAGCAAGGTCCGCCGTGTTTGGGGCTCTGAGGGCCTCTATACCAAGACTGCTCCTGTCAGCTGGCTGGACTTTGATGCCGTCAAGGCCCTTCTCAACTCCGTCCTCATTCCTTCTCTGGAGGAGTCCCTCCTTCATGAGGACCACATCTTGGCTGCCCTCACCAACGCTTTGGAGAGCTCCAAGTCCAAGGATGGTGACAAGAAACACTTGTCCCACTCTACCAGACTCGCTATCTTCAAGTTCCTTTCCAGCCATGTTGTCGGAACACCGCTTATTGCTGTCAAGCTGAGGCTCCTCCAGACGCTCAACCAGATCAAGAGCATCTCTGGTACCTCCAGAACCGACCTGCTCCTCCCTCTATTGCAATGGTGGGCCCGCTTGTCCGAGGAGGCGGCTCAGCAGCTCCTTGCCCGGGAAGCTGTTGATGAGGCCTTGGTCAACAACGCTTTCGTCGATGTCGTCGTTGCCAACAACGAGGCTGGTCTCAAGCTGATCTTTGAGCTCATCAACGATGCCAAGGTTGTTACCCGCAACGGCCTCGTCCAGTCGCTCTTCGGCCGTATCCAGAAGATCTGGTCTTCCATGAAGGCCGAGACCCAGTTCTCCACCGCTCGCGCGCTGCTTACCCTTTCTCAGGGCGTTCACGCTACCGCCTCCGAGCCAAACGCCGTTGCTACCGAGGCCACTGACGTTTTGCACAAGGTTGAGCTGACTACCGATATTCTTCTTGACTTCCTCGAGTCCCTGTACGATGATATCAAGAAGGCTACCGAGAAGCCGGCTACCAAGCGTAGGCGTGTTGGCTCCTCTGAGAAGAGCGTCGACACGCAGAGCCCTGCCGATGTCAGCGCCAGCCTCAATAAAGCCACCTTCGTTCTCGAGCTTGTTCAGGAGTCTAAGCCTGAGCAGCATCCTGAGTTGCTTCCCAGCCTCTTCACCACCCTTTCTGAGCTCCAGCACCTCCGTACTGTTGTTGGCTCTGAGCTGGGTTACCTCCAGAGCTTGGTTCTCGGCAGTCTGCTTGCCATGATCCCTGCCTACAAAGACAGCAAGGAGCTCACTATTGACCCCGCGGCTGGTCACGGTGATATCCTCGCCTCCTGCATCCAGCGGTCTTCCAGCCCACGGTCATTAACGCTGCCCTGTTGTTGGTTGCCAGCCTGGCTCGCACTGCGCCCGACGTCGTCTTGCACAGCGTTATGCCCATCTTCACCTTCATGGGAAGCTCTGTCCTCAAGCAGGCTGATGACTACTCCGCTCACGTTGTCAACCAGACCGTCAAGGAGGTCATTCCTCCTTTGATCGAGACCTTCCGCAAGAGCAGGAGGAACCTGGTTGCCAGCACCGCCGAACTTCTCACCAGCTTTGTCGTTGCCTACGAGCACATTCCTTCTCACCGCAAGCAGGATCTGTTCATCACTCTTATCGAGAACCTTGGACCCGAGGACTTCCTCTTCGCTGTCCTTGCCATGTTCGTGGACAAGTATGGTGCTACTGACAACATGATTGCGTTCACTACCCAAATCATCGGCTCCTTCTCGGTGGAGATTCAGCTACAGACCCTCATCAAGCATTTGGATATCATCAGCGACATCTTCAAGCCCAAACCTGTCCTCTCCGTTGCTTTGCTCGCCAAGGTCGATTCCAACTCTGCGCAGGATGTTGTGAAGCTTGCTCAAAAGCAGCTTACCCTCCTCCCGAAGTTGCTTGCCAACCGTCGTCTGAAACACGAGATTTCCGCATTGGCTGAGAAGGACGATATGGAGTCAGTCAAGATCCGCGAGCTCTATGCCCAGTTCCTCGAGGGCATCCTCACGCTTTCTGGCACCGTCAAGCCCAAGAGCGACAAACTTTACGACCTCTGCGGCGACGCGCTCTCTAACCACCTCAACCTGCTGTCGATTGCTGAATTCATTAAAAGTGTTGAGGCTCTTCTTGATCGTCCTAACGTTGTCTTGCGCCAGAAGGTCCTCCGCGCTTTGGAACTTCGTGTGGACAATGAGAGCACCAACAACCTCAAGTCGAGGGAGGCTTTGCTTGCTTTCTTGCCCCAGCTGACGGCTGTCATTCGCGAGTCGGACGACATGAGCTACAAGCACACGGCCGTCAACTGCGTTGACAAGATCGCCGAGAAGTATGGCAAGAAGGATCTCGATGCCGTCGCTGCTGCCGCCGCTACCATCGCTGGCGACAGCTGCCTTGGCCAGCCGTCTCGGGAGCTCCGCATTATGGCTCTTCTCTGCCTTGCTTCTCTCGTGGATGTTCTCCAGGACGCTATTGTCCCTGTTCTGCCCATTGCCATCCCCAAGGCTCTTGGCTGCCTCGAGCAGAGCATCAAGGCCGAGAAGCCCGATGGTGCGCTGCATAACGCTGCCTATGCCTTCAAGGCTGCTCTTGCCCAGCACATCCCTTACATGATCTCGGGTGCCTACCTCGACAGACTTCTTGCCTGCTCCAACGCTTCTGCTGCCGCTGGTCTGGACGAGGAGTGCCGCGCCAACCGCGCCGACTGCCTCCAGTTTGTTGCCAAGCTTATCGAGGGCAAGGTCCTCTTCACTGCCCTGGAAAAGAACTGGGCCAACGCTGCCGCCTCTGGATACTCTGTAAGTCTTCCTCTTGTCACTATCTCTGCTACGTCTTCTAACCATCACCAGGCTCTCGAGGAGTACCTCCATGTCCTCGGCACCGCTTTGGACAAGCACCCCAAGTCCTCCATCGCCAAGAACACCACCCTCTTCACCGGCATCTTCCTCAACGCCTTCGATCTCCGCCGCAGCGGCGTCCTCTCTTCCACTCAGGAGCTGGAGAAGATCGAGCTCCTCATCAACGAGACTTCTCTCAAGATGATCTACAAGCTCAACGATGCCGCCTTCCGCCCCATGTTCTCCCATCTTATGGATTGGTCCACCACGGGTCTGCCCAAGTCCGACCTGGCCGGCAAGGCCCAGCGCCAGGTCAGCACCTACGGCTTCCTGCAGCACTTCTTCGAGAACCTCAAGTCCATCGTGACCTCGTACGCCGCGTACATCATCGACTCGGCCGTCAAGGTCCTCTCCGCCCCCTTTACCAGCGACGACGTTTTCAAGACCCTCCGCTCGCGCGTCCTCCGCACCCTCACCAAGTGCTTCGAGCACGACCAGGACGGCTTCTGGCAGGCGCCTGCCCACTTCAGCGCCGTCGCCCCTGTTCTCGTCGAGCAGTTCGGCCACGCCGCCAACGCCAACAACTGCACCGAGGATCTGGTGCTCGCCGTTGTCGAGCTGGCTGCCGCTGCCGACAGTAAGGAGCACCACAAGGAGATCAACTCGGCGCTGCTCAAGCATCTCCGCTCCGAGCAAGCGGCCGTCCGCTTGGCGGTCATCAAGTGCCAGCAGGCGCTCACGACCAGACTGGGCGAGGAGTGGCTCCAGAGCTTGCCGGAGATGTTGCCGTTCATTAGCGAGTTGCAGGATGACGATGATGAGGTTGTGGAGAGGGAGAACAGGAGGTGGATCGTGGGGATTGAGGAGACCCTTGGTGAGAGCTTGGATAATATGTTGCAGTAAGGGGTTGCTGGAGATTGTTGGACGAGTACGTAATGTGATTAATGGTCACGGGACGACGTTTATGTGTGGGACATGATGGATGTTCTTGGTCATGTAGGAGGATATCCTTTGTGTGGATGGATGTATAGCATCTCGCATTTGTAACTGGCGTTAGGTACAAAAAGTCATAGATGGGTTTTGTTGTTGTGCATAGATATGCAATGATCATTGAAAGTCTTGTTGGTTGTGGTTATTTGTGTCTTGAGAATTCGTCTCTTGCTCTCTCGCTCGTGGAGCATGCACGTAGGATACTCTCCTACAAAGCCAAATTGTGTCGCAAAGAGGAAGAAAGATTCGCTCTGTTTAGCCTTGTATCCTTCGGGTATCTTCTCCCCTCTCTTCTCTCTACTACTTGGCACTTTTCCCCTCCCCAATCCCTTCCTCCCTTCCTCCCTTCCTACCCTCTTCCACAAGCAAGCAGCCCGTCAAGCCTAACGAACATACTTGCTCATAAACCGCCTATGGAAATCGCTCCTCAACAAGTCATTCACAAACTCCTTCTTCTTATTCCGATCATCCACGCCCCTCGCCTGGTTCTTGAACACCACATCGTCGTCCCACCGCCTCTTGACCGTAAAGTCTGGCTTGTTCAGCAAGGGATTGCCGAGCGCTATGTCCTTCTCGCGCTGCTCTTCTTCGAGCTTCTGGCGCTCCGCTTCCTCCCGCTCGCGCTTCTCTTGACGCTCGCGGCGCACGCGCTCGAGTTCGCGCTGGAGTTCGGCTTCCTCGTCGTCGCTGTCGCTGTCGGAGTCTGAATCGGAATCATCATCGTCGTCGTCATTGTCGTCGTCGTCGTCGGCCTCCGCTTTGTTTTTCTTCGAGGCAGCACCTGCTTCTGAACCCGCCGCGTCTGAATCATTGTCGTCGTCGTCCGATGAATCGTCCGCATCAATCTCCCTCGTCAATTCTAATATCCTTCGTCGTTTCGCTTCCTCCTCTCTATCCCCCTCCTTGTTGTCGCCGTCACCACCACCACCACCCGTTAAAGCCAGCGGGCGCTTGGTACCCGCCGTGGCATTCTCGTCGTCACCGGAGGTAAGAGCAAATCCGCCCCTCAGCTTGGCCTTGTGCGCCTCCTCGGCGGCCAGGAGCTCGGCGCGCAGGTCTTGCGTGTCACGGTCTTCGGATGCCCCAGCGACGCCGCCTTGGCCGGGCTTGCGGAACTTGAGCTGCGTGTAGGCGGGGAGAAGACGTTGATGGTAGGCGGGACCGCGGAGAGCTTCTTTGCCTTTGGCCTATTGGGGGGATTGTTAGATTGTTAGTTTAGTCGGCGGACTGGATGAGAAAGACGGGAGAAGAGGATGGAGGCGGGATGCGTACCGGGTCAAAGGTAGGTCTGTGGGCTGTGGTCATTTTGACGGCTTGGGTTTGATTCGGTTATTTAGTTGTTCTGTTGGAGGGCGATGGCGATGCAATGGGTGGGAGATGAAGCGCGCGCGATGGAGGGCGACAGGTCGTGGTGTTGATGTTGGAAAACGCTGCAGAGAGGTTGTTGATATGGAGGTTTCGATGCGAAAGGCGAAGCAACAATTGAATGGGGAAACTGGCAGGGTGCTCAGTGGTACAAATGACGCCCTGGGGTCAGGTCCAGTCTCGCAGGCGCGCTTCTTGACCGCCCGCCCAGGCCCAGACCGCATGCCGCAGCGGCAGAACCCGCCAAATTTTGGCGGACTTTAGTGGCAGAATTGGGAACCATAGCGACTGCAGCCGCAATCGCAGCACCCAAGCAGGAACAACCAGTGATCTTGAATCTTGTGATCTGCAACATCTCCATTTCTTTGCAAAAAGTAAACAACAAAACTCAGATCTCAAAATGCCCAGAGAAGCAGAACCATCAGCCAATGAGAAGGCCTTCCTCCTGAAGGCGCTTCAAGATGAACAGATACGTCTCGATGGCCGCGAATTCGACCAATACCGCCCGCTAGAGCTCACCTTTGGAGACGAATATGGCGTCGCGAATGTATCACTTGGCAAGACAAAGTACGTTTGGATCACAACACCACACACACATGGTCACCTAGAGACACGTAAATAATAACCAATATCTTCCAAATCCAGGATCCTCGCCAAAGCCTCCGCCGAAGTAACAGTCCCCTTTGCCGACCGGCCCCTCGACGGCATCTTCACCATCGCCACCGAACTCTCCCCCATGGCTGCGCCTCACTTCGAAGTGAACCGGCCCACCGAAACCGAAGTCCTCTTGTCTCGCCTGCTCGAAAAGACGGTCCGCCGCTCCGGCGCGCTCGACACCGAGTCGCTCTGTCTGGTGGCCGGCCAAAAGTGCTGGTCCGTCCGCGTTGACGTGCACGTCCTGTCTCACGACGGCAACCTGACGGACGCGGCCTGCTTCGCCGTCGTCGCCGCCCTGCGCCACTTCCGCAAGCCCGACACCAGCATGGAGAACGGCGTGTTGACAGTTTACACGCCCGCAGAGCGGGAGCCGGTTCCTCTGGGGTGGCTACACTCGCCCTTTTGCGTGACGTGGAGCTTCTTTGGCGACGAGGGCGAGACGGCGCTGTTGGATGCGGACTGGATGGAGGAGCAGGTTAGGGTCGCCAGCCTTACGATTAGTCTGAACAGGCACGGCGAGATCTGCCAGATCGCCAAGCTGGGAGGTGTTCCCGTGGAGGCGGTTGCGCTGCTGCAGTGTACCAGCGTGGCGTTGACGAAGGTGAAGGACTTCTCGACGTTCTTGGATGGCAAGTTGGCGGAGGACGCGAAGAGGAGGGACAAGGGTGGGTTTATGGCTGAGTTGAGGGCGGAGAATGATCGTGTTGTTGGGTGACGCGGCCGGGGGAAGTAGAGGAAGAAAGTGAGATACCCAGGTACGGCCATAGAGCCGAGCAGAACAAAAAATATGGTTGGTTAGGGCGGAAACTCCAGAGGCGTGGGAGTTCTAGAACTCGCCTTCAATGCTTTGTCGATCAAGAGAACCGCAAGCGTTTTCCAAGAGGCAAGCCGCTCCATAAAATGGGTTCTATTAATGGGCGAGAGCCCTCGAGGGTCTTAGCCTCCCTCATATTTGAAGGGAATGATCCCGACGACGGCATCCGAAAACGCTATCTAACATTATACAGGGCGTCTTGCCCTCCTCAGCCTTTTCCCGATCTTCGGCTGCCAATAAAGCTACCGGATAGATGAGAACACACAGGCGCCAGGTCACCGCACGGTCTCAGCCTCTATCTCTTCTAGACGCAATGAGCGTAAAGGTTTAGCCAAGATCGCGCCTGACCTCTAAAGATGCTTCTATGCCATTTGCCTCCATGATCATCTCCCGTCCAACGTCGCTGTGATTCGATCCGGTGGTAACGTGATCTCGCGCTCCAGTAAGGGGGGTGATTTTTGAACCGGGCGGTGGGCTTGCGCAGCGCTCTTGATCTACCCCCCTAATTTCTTCTGGAGGCGGTGGTGATCTTCAATGCCAGGCCAGTTGCAAGCTCTGCCGGCCTGAAAGGGAGGAAGCGGCTCCCGAGTAGGATCCCCCACTCATACGCCGGCAACATTCGTCAATACATGTCGCAAGCTTGGCGTCATAATATAAATCCTCTTCGCCAACAACAACCACTCACCGCATAACCGGCGGCCTCGACTCCTTGTTCCATTTCACCCTCGATCTGACCCATTCCACTGCCTCCCTCACGCCCGTCCCCGTTAGCGCCGAGACGGGCAACACCCTCGAGTCCCTGATACTCGCACTCTTTTCGCCCTCAAACACTTTCTTGACCAACCCTTCCTTGATCCGCACGACCTCCACGCAGTCTTCTCGGTCCTGCTTGTTCGCCAATATCAACAGCGGCACGCCCTCCGTCTCCGAGTGCTGCAACACGTCCTCAAGCACCGCCCGACACTCGTCCAACCTTCCATTGTTCTGATCGCGCTCGATTTGACCGTCGCCGATGTCGGTGCTGTCGATGATGAAGATGATGGCGTGGCAGGACGAGTAGTACGAGTGCCACAGGGCACGAAGAGAGAGCTGGCCGCCGACGTCCCATAGCTTCAGGTACATGTCGGGCAAGGTGATGGTGGAAACATTTTGGCCGACCGTTGGGACTGTTTTCAACTTGGGCTCGGGCTGGTCGGGGTGGAAGAGCGCTTTCACTTGTTCGTGGAAGGTGGTCTTTCCTGCGTTGTCGAGGCCTAGGAGGATGACGGAGTATTCTGCATGGTGCGGGAAGAAGGTTGGGTGTTAGTATTAGTCTTCGTTGCGACTATGGGACTATGAAATGGAAAAGGGGTTAGGTGCTAACCTTCTTTACTGGTCGCTAATCGGTAGAGACCCTTTGCTAGGTGGTACATGTTGAGGACTGTCTTGAGGAGGTGGCTAGCGGGGGTTTGAAAGAGTGATAAATCGCAAAGTTGTACGAGCTATTGTAGAGACTCTCGACTTTATTGTATGTACACGGAAGACTTCCATTTCTGTAGGTCGCAACGGGATCGGAGGACGGGAGGACCGTGTCTTCCCCAGACTCCCATTGTCAAACGTGCCGGGGGGTCGATCACACAGTGGTCGAGGCTCCACATGTCTAACGGCATGACAGGGGTTTGCCGTCCCAAGTTCAGCGGCTTCAGTGGGTTTGTGGTGTGAAACGTGGACTGCTAGGGACGGATCAGCCCGATAAGATAAGAGCCCGCGGGGAGCTCTCTGTGTCGTCATAGGCCAGTTTCACAGCATCACCTAAGGCCGCTCCTTCCAGCTTTCTCTCTGGCCAGCGCAACCCATCCATCAGTTTTCTGCTTCCCTCTTTCCTATTTTCTTCTTCATAGGTGGCACAGTAACTTCTCTAGCAATCTGCGAACACATTTACAGCCATCATCATGGCTCCTGTCGCTCTAGAATCAGAGCCAAGGTACGTTGCGACTAGTATGCGCCATCAGGCAGCTCTCACTTATGCACGCCCAAGTGACATCGAGGCATAGAACTTGGTGAAGACTTGGAAGAGAGGCAGATTTGACTATAAGTGATCAAGATGCGACAATCAGCTAACTTGGACATTTCTACAGGTATTTACCCTTGGTTCTGGCGGGATCGCATATCGCAGCCTCTCTCTATCTTACTTACATCATCGGCCTGGCCCTCTACCGATCGTATGCCCAACTGGGCCCAGCCCAAGACACGCGTGGCCGGATATCGCAACGACAAAAGCTGGTGACGGCTTTCGGCAGTCTTTCACTTCTCAGTCTAGGCTCAGCCATCAACTCGGGCTTGGATTATCTGACCCTCTCATACAAAGTATGGGCATCCGAACGTGGCATCCCTCTTTTGCAAACACTATCTGGCGGCTTCAGCCTCGAGAACTTCACACTCGACCATGTCCGCGCCTGGCTGAATGACACACCGCTCTACCTCGATGCTCTGGAAATTGTTGCAGAAAAGGCTAGGAGGCTGTGGTGGGGACAACAGCTTGATCTTGCTACAGTCTCCTGGACCATGTTGCTGGCAGCCGAAGGACGCCGGAGAAAGATCCCGTTCCTCTGGGCGTACGCACTGCTCGCGCATTTGGTCAACCTCTCCTTTGCGCAGAACCTGTTCTACGTCGCTATGCTTCTGACGCCTGCACCCATTGATAATACCCACAAGTCGAGGTAGGTTCCGCTGTCACCCCTCGTTAGCAGTGCTATAGTCTGTGTCACTAACAGCCGTGTAGTCTCTCGAAGCTCCTCGCTCGCGCGTTCCCACCGAAGCCAACCAACTGGTCCCCGAGGCCCGCCTTCTTCCACGTCCTCCTCGTTCTCAACTACCTAGTTATGCTCTGGGTGCCTCGGACCGCAGGAGGCGCCAACTTCCCCTCAGCCGTTGCGATTTCCAAGGCCTTGTCCCTCTCACCCCTGATTCTGCCAGCCATCATTCCGAAGTCATGGGGAAAGATCCATACCGAGCCACACGACAGCTACCGTTCCCTCACCAAGCTCTTCAACCTCATGTCCGTTGCCAGTCTGCTTTTGCACGGCAAGACCTCCATCGCCGGTCTTTGGTACAACCTCCCTGGCTCATACAAGCACCGGCACAGCGTCCGAATCCCCTTCGACATCGAAAAGCGATCCGCCTGGGAGCGCAGCACGACCGCCATGGAAAAGATTTTGGGTTCGATGACAGATCACCCAGCTGTCGCAGCCGCCGGCAAGGACGTTCTCCTGTGCGCTTTCAGTCTCGGTATCTGGGCCGCGGTCCGCGCCTTGGACGTGGACCACATGCTCAGGTCTGTAGCACCCTTTTACGGGAAGAAGTCCGAAAAGAAGGCGCTTCCTCCTTCCTACCCAAACGTCGCGGAGATGGGCATCACAGAACCCTCCGAGACGATTCCTGAAAACGAACTATCGCGCCCAAGTTCGTCCTCAGGCTTGACCATGAAGCTTAGGGACCGTGGCAAGCATGTTAGTTCGAAGCTCGCCGAGGCTCTTACTGCCAATGGTAGTGCAGAAACCAGCCCGAATCAGGCACCGAGAAGACGCCCAGGAAGGCCACGCAAGATCAAGCAGGAACCGACGCCGGAGCCGGAGCTGGGAACCATTGACGAGGTGGCTGGTGCACCCGATGCAGTTGGTGGTTCTACTTATGAGCCTACACCGGCGGTTAAGGCGCAAGTTGTCGAAAGGGATGTGTTGCCGGATGATGAGTTTGATTGGGAGTCGGCGGCTCTTGCGTGGGGGTTGACGGCGCTGGGAGGTCTGGGAGCTGGGTCTTCAGCTGTTTATGGGGCCGAGTGCGTTTCTCGTTGATGAGAACTTGAGGACAGGGCATGGTTGGAGTGGCTGTGAATCGCGTACTTCGGAAGAACATCAACCTCTGCCTTTATACCCCAGGTCACCCCTGAGACACAACTCAGGGTTAAGAGGTGACATCTATGCAGACGTGTTTCTCAGGGTTATACGTGGCAATACTGACGGATGCAGCGCAGGCCACCGCCAACACCAGCTGCGCCCAGCCACAAATCCCGTTGGACAGTTTGCACTGTGCAATTGGTCTCTGCTACAGTGAGTCGCATCCAGTAAACTTTCTGCCACAGGGTCAACCTTTCTTTCCTACGGGGACTCAACGATGCCAAGGCTACCTGTGGCTGAAGGTCAGGCTAACACTGTGATTAACAATTCCCATCCACTCGTGAACGGCCCACTTTCAAGGGCACGGCTGTAGACAACAGTGGATAACCTTGTTGGCCCATCCTTGACGTGGATCTCCACTAATTTCTCGACCTCCAAACCCTGCAAGTCGACTTCTCTCTATCAAAGTGAATCTTCAATCTGAAGTCTTCATCACTTCACCCGCGACTGCGACTGCGACCTCGAACTTGCTGCTTGGTTTTCACTGCTGCAAACTCGATCGCATACTATCAATCACTCGACATTGCACTTTCTGTCGCTGTGACTTCGGCCAGTCGCGCGCCTCGGTTGACTGTCCGGTTGCACTTTTTATTGCAAACTTTGGACTCGGTCACCGGCTGAAACCCATTCTTGTATGTGTAAGAGTTACCATCTCAATCATGGGCTCTGTCTCTGTGGACTCTGAGCAGGACGACCTCTTCTCCAACCTGGAGGACGAGTTCCTTGCCGCCGAGGACAACGAGAGGGAGAACGAGAACGACAACACTGTCGACAATGACCTCGATTCGCTCTTTGGGGACGCTGCTGATGATGATTTGCATTCGCTCTTTTCCGAATCAGAAGACGAAGACGACCAACAAAAACAACACCCAGCACCACCACCATCACAGCTGCAGCATCATGTCTCAAATCACACACAAGAGCCGGCGCCGGTCGAGTTGACGCTGCCCCAACCATCAGCATCAACAACCACCGGCACTCAACCGAGCCAACAACCCCAAGATCACCACCACCACAACCAGCAGCAGCAGCAGCAGCAGCCTCTACCGTCACAAGACCTACCAACGTTAAGTCTTGCCGACCTTACCCATGACGAGCTTGAACTCCTTGAGGCCTTAACCCCGCCTTTCACGGACGGCCATGATGAGTTGGTCGGTCAGCAGGAAGGACAATGTATGCCCAGTGCCCCTGATCCGCCTGCAAGTCCCTTTTCGCTTCAGGATGGACACACTTCAGGTGGCCCAGCGGTTAGTACTCAGACTCCTTCAGATTCGCCCCCCGAGCCCGCCCTATCAATGGAGTCGTTGGATTGGTTGGAGGGGATCACGTTTGACGAGGCAGACATAGAGGCTGCTATTGCACAGATGGAACGGCCAGAGAACTTACTGGATGGGATGATTGACCAAGTCTCAGACCCCTGGCAGGGCGAAGGCTCTCAGCAGCAGCCTCAACAACAGTCCATCTCGCAAAATCCCTTCGAGATCCCTGCACAGGCCAGTGTTCCAAACTCGAGTCCTCCCCAGGATAACAGCCTCTCGCAAACACAGGAGCCCTCTGTCGGCCATCCCGTGGGTGATGCCTTACCGCAGGCCAATGACCCAAACCTCCTCACCCCTCCAGCCAGTTCCCCGGAAAACACACCACCAGCTCCTGCGGACAATCAGTATATACGAGTGAGCGACATCCCCGGTTTTCGGTACAGTCACTGCTACACCAACCGAGGAACAACTATCACGCGGCGTGTCGATCTCCACCCGAACCAACTCCCGATTCTTCTGGACTACATAACCCTTGGTAAGTCTTCATCTCGATCATCCATCCACACTTTGGTTGGTCTCGTACTAATTCTCTCACAGATAGGAACTCGAGATTGTCGGTACTGTATCGACGCCTTGAACTCAATGATTGGCAGGGCAAAGACCTCAACAAGGACATGAAGGACTTTGTACTGAATACCCCTTTTCAACACCTTGTACACCACAAAACTCAGGGTGATGTGAGGGGTATGAAGAATATGCTGGGAGGTGCCGCATATTATATGCTTACGACCGGTTGGGGAGAGAAGTGGTTCGGTTCGACAGAGTGCTATGTCTCGCCTGGAAATAAGCGCCAAACGATATGGCCACATGACTCGACCATGTAAGTTGTCAAAGATTCCAAAATCATGACGTGTAAGGACACTGCTGACTTAAGTTCATAGCATTATGGTCCATTTTATGGGGCTCCTCTACCGCATCGTCTATCAGCAACAAGTCTTCTTCCGAAAAAAGGAGAAGGACGCAACCAAAAACAGCCCGAACGCTCTGCTATCGCCTGAACCCTCTGAGGCATCTGCATCTTCACCTGCGCCAGTTACCGAACTGGAAGCGTTTTCGCCGGGAGCGAGCACTGCCTCTCCTATGCCAGAAACGGGCTCCGACGGACCAGAGACATGTTCCAACGGTTCAGCCACGACCGCAACGGCGACCTCTACCAGGGCATCTAGCATCAGCTCGCAAAATGTGATGCAAAGTATCGAGATTGGGACGCCGGTTGCTCTAGAGATATCCAGCAACACGACCACGGCAGCAGCGATCGAGACTCCTCTCAGTACTGTTGACCAGAACGCTCGACCAACGGAAACGGAGATCACGGCCGAATCTAAACTTGCCGTAACTCCTGTATCCGCCCCCGTCTTAGAGCCACGCGCGGCTTCTGCCGGCGTCGTTTCACCAGTTTTAGCAAGCAACACCATCCCAACTCCTGTCGCTAGCATTACCGTGGCTCCTGTCGAGACGAGGATGCCATTTATCACGACCAACACCACTCAAACCGGCACTTCAGTTCCCTTAGCTGCCGCTCCTACCACCACCGCAGCGCCTATTCAGACGACTGTTCCAACTGCCATAACCACCACCCAAATCGAGACTCCTGTTTTCACACCAGCATCCGTCAATACAAACGTACCGAGTACCACGACGGGTACCGGTCCAACCGCGACTCCTATACCCGCTTCTGTGCCTGTCAACACCAGTATGGAAATTTTCACAACCAGTGCTTTTGCACCAACGGTCACCCCAACCGCTACCTCAACCGCCACCCAAACGGACGCAGACATCATCACCGGCACCCGAAAGCGCCCTCACGACGAGTTCGCCAAGGACTGCGAGCAAGAAGTAGCCCGACAATCAACAGCAGGCCCAGCCCCAGTCCCAGCTCTGGCCCCAATCCCACCCTCAATCCCATTAGTCGCGGTTCCGATCCCGGCCCCTGGAGCAGCCTTTGTTCTCGACGTCCCCGATGACGCCGACCTTACCTACCACGTGCACATGAAGAACCGTTCCACCAACGAGGACGTCAGTCCGCCCGTGACGTACCATCATCCCCACGCGCCTATTGTGCGCAGTGGGTTTTACTCGTACATCATGAACACCATCGGGACCATTTGCGGCAGAACTAGCGTTTCTCCGTACATCCATGTCCTGTCGGCCGGCTGTCCAAGGAACGTGAGGAGCGATGCTGATTGGGATTCGGTGGTTATGGATGTGTATAACCAGAAGCTGGCGGGGAAGGAGGGGCCTGTGCTGGTTATGTGTTATGTTTGAGCACAATAAGATGGAGATAAGGATGGGCTGGATGGAATAGGCATGTGAACAGGTTGGGTGTCAGCTGAGAACGGCCGAGAAGATTCCAATGATCAGAGTTGAAGCAAGTGTTGTAGAAGGCAACGACAACGAGCAGACTGGCATTCTCCGGGTCTACTGTAATCCGAGAAGACCACGGTCTGGTCCGGGCAGGAAGGGTATCAGAGTGTCATCTCACAAAAAGGGAGAGGGTCTCGCAAGTTCGGCGTTAGGGAGAAGTGTGTTTATCAGGGGAGGTCTGATCCCACCTCTAGAGGGCTGTGGTTTTACAGAATGTTTTCTTTGTTTTTTGTTGTTCGACGCCGTTTCCTACTTCTATTGAGGGACCCGAACAGGCGTTTAAAGGTTATAGGGCTACTACAAGGGTTCGGTTGTATTTCTTACTATACCCTTAGGTTAGATCAGTGTTTCTTGGAGGAACAAATTCACGTCTGGGTTGAGAGCGTTTTCGTTTCCAGAATATTGGTTGTGTTCGCAGCGAAATCGGCAAATAGGAGACAGAGAAAGGACCAGGAGACTCACGTCGCAGTTGATGAGTATGATACGTTATCTACCTAGTTCGAGCTAGGTATTCAGTTAACCTATCCTCCCTCGCCTACCCAAATGCGGTATCTGACTTGGCCATTAGTGTCTTAGCCCAATCGCCTATCAACAGATTCTCATCGGAAAACTATAAGGTCAGGAATGTGCTCTAAGGCCGGTCATGTCAAGTGGCAAACCAGAGAGATTCGATGATAGTTGTGGTCGACTCGATGATTGAGACACTACTGTACGACTGCTCTGGATGAACGCAGAACCGTTCCATGCCCATCACATCCTGCTTCATTCATTCAGTTTTACAGGAGCAAAGATTTTTCTTCTTGCCAACCAGAAGGATTACCTGCATACAAACGGCTCCCCGCAGGTGGCTGGTTGATTCCTCTCTATATATGGAAGCCGAGTGAGGTGAGTATACCCCGTGCTATCTGTCGGCTATTGTCAGTGGCGTCTGCGTGTCATACACTCAACTACTTCGTTTGCGGCCGCTGAACCTTAAAAGTGATATTCTATAGAGACAGGATAACACATCATCATATAGGTCCGTATGTAGCCATCGCTTCGGTTTGATGCCTGCCGTGCAATTTCTTTGAAACGCTGACGGACGCGGTGGAAGAGTAAGCAACTGAATCTATGAATAGGTCGTTTGAATTTTGCCGTCCCGGTCTCTCTTCCTGAACTCTCTCAGTCAGCGAGTTGCTTCGTGGAGGTCAGCCAGTGAGCAATAAGTAGTTCACTCACTCCCGTAAACCATCATCATCTTGGAAGACAAAATATTGGCTGCTTGCCAAACAAGAGGTAGCGGACGGCTATTCACCAAGAAACATCGTTTTGTGACGCAAATTGCAAATGATTTGGATGTCTGGAAACAAGTTGTAATAACACGAAGAGATACGACGACAAAGTCCTCTTACAGTTGAGCATCGTCCATCTTACGTTCCATCATATCTCATCTATATTCATCTGCTTCCTCACCACATTTATCTGTTAGTTGTGTCGCTCCTTCCCAACCGTTATGCCACTACAGTATTCCTTATATACCACCTAGCTCCTTCAACGCTCCCCCAAAGTCCCAACAAGCAGCCAGGGTGGTTCGGAAGCACAATCGCAACATGTTAAATTTTGTCGTTGGCACTCTGTTTTTTCTTCTCAGTTACAATCTTTCGTTATTTGCATCTTCAGCAACAGTTCGAGCCATCGCCACTGTTCACCAACCCCCAAACGCCCCGTGGAACTAACTCCTCCGGGTACTCAACCCGTTCCTCCCGGCGAAGTCGTGCGTCATCCAATTACACATCCCTTTCGTATCAGTTCCCCCCATGCAGTGATATTTTTTTTATATTTTTTTTTACTTTTCGGTGCCATATCTCCCACCTCTATTCCCGATCTACTGTAGTGTACACTGTGACGAAAGCATGTATCTCTTTCATGTGATCATTTGCTATCGCTATCCTCACGACCTCACACACACAACCCCCTTACCACCATCCAACTCAACATCAACCACCTACCTTTGTAAGCAAGCAAGCAATCCTTACCAGGACGGAGGGGACACTCACCGAAAGCGAGAACGGTAACGACGGACGACTCCTTCTGGGAAAGAATAGATAACGGGAGTTAAGGCGAAGGTGACCTGACTGAGTCTCTTCACCGCTTACACCTCCAAGCCCCTTCATTCATTCATTCATTCCGCATCAGCGCCTTTCGTTCGTTCCTTTGTCCCTTTATTCCTTCAAAGACATATCAAATCCTTGATTGTATTCAGCCAGCCAGCCAGCCAGCACTGAACAACAAATCGGTGTACCTAGAAAGGTAGACAACGGAGAAATCCCTGATTCCTCCATTTTCTTCACATTCAACGAGTGGAGTGACTGTAGGTAGTAAGCATGAGAAAAGAAAAATCGACTTTTATCACAAAACGAAACACAACATGATACGCATGCATGCAAAATGCAAAAAAAAAATGCAAAATGCCCGAACCACGGTCAACGGCCAGCGGAGCGGATGGACGGACGGACGGAGTGTATGGAGTTGCAGCAGGCGGAACAAAACGGAGCGTTACGGGAGGAAAGGAGTCCAGGGAACAGATACGACACATCACCATCCCGGTTGGCTGGTTGGGCCGTTCTCGGCAGCAGCAGCAGTAGCAACAGAAGCAGCTAGACGGGGAGAGATGGATGGGGCATGAGACCATTTACATAACCCAGCCATACATAACCCATACATTACATAGCCCTAACGTCTTTGTATCTGCCAGACCTAACCTATCTAGCAGATATCGTCTCCGTCAGTCAGTCCTCGGCCATTGATTTCATTTTTTAATTTATATATATATATATTTTTGATGGGCACTTGAGACTTGCAAGCAAATGTGACGATGATCAGGCTCACTCCGAAGCTGTTGTTGTTACCTTGCTCATCACAGCTTAGAAGGGGGGGGCCTGTGAGCCTGGGTAATACCATAGATTTCCCGGCGGCGGGACTACTTCTCCAAGACAGGTAGGTACATAATCATCAGCTGACGATATCTCCTTAAAGAAAAAAGACGAGAAGAGCCATATGTAATGTGCCGCAGGTGAACATGTCTCTCGGTTTACCTACACTACTCTTCCATGTCGCCTCATCGGCGTATCCTGTCCGAATTCAGTGATTCAGTGCCTCAGGGTTCCCGTCTCCTCCCACAAAGGTCCTTCCTTCCTTTCCCTTGTTGCTCTCTCTGACAGTCTCGAGATCCCTGTTCCTCAAGAAGGAGTGTGAAGGACACCTGACCCAGCACACATACATATGTCACCCACCGGATCTCCGACACCGTACGTCTACTAGGTAGGCGCAGCAAACGAGCCGTTCCGCACGGCGGAGGTTCGGGGTTTTTGTTGACCCTTGACTTTTGAGAGGCAGAAGAGGGCTTGAGACGCTCGGATTCCCATCAGTTAGTTGTCCAATGATGGCCGGCCCGTTGAAGACAAGTGTCCCACTAGACACTAGTAGATGACCACTAGGAATTTATCTCTCTTTCTTCCTCCTGCGCCTACTGCACTTCTCCCACATGCCCTCCGTAGTTTGGTTCACAAGTGTTTCAGGATAGGGGGAGGCTGGTGTGGTAGTTGCTAACCCAGGACCTTTTTTTTTGTCTTTCAAAAACTTTTAGGTGCTTACCATAGGTACTACCTATTATGCCATAGTACGCAGTCTCGAACCTCCCACGGTGGACACACTAAAAAGTAAAGCGACGAACAAAAAAGTGAGACACTTGAAACATCCGAGAGAGCGAGGCAGATCTGAGAGATCTATGCAAAGCTCTGGATATCGCCGTCCCTCGGCTTTTACTAATTTAGTGCCGTTTCTGTGTAGTGTAAACTACACCACCAGACTAACCTAGAACCAGGCATGTACATAGTTGATCAGCTAGAAATTTGTACACATACATACCATGATGTGCTCGGTCGGTCTCCTCTCCTGAACCTTGGACTGAGACATGCAGACGGATAGAACCAGATACACTGTGTATGCAAATCATGCAGATATCATTTGCCTATAGGAACAACAACTTTCTACTGCTCCAGTTTGAACTCGGTGTGGTCCAATCCGGTAGTGCCGACATCGACCCTGAACAGGCCACCGCCGTACTTCCTGCTAGGAGTCCCCTCCTCGCTCTCCTCGTCCGCGGCGCTGGTGATGAACAGCTCAGTACCCACAAACTCGACGCAGGTGATGTTGTTGGTCGGCAGGATGACTCGGCCGAGGATCTTCCCGACCGGGGAGATCTTGATGACGGCGGCTCCGTCATACAGGGCGTGCCAGATGTTGCCATCCTTATCGACCCTGAACCCGTCCAGGTGACCCTTCTCCTCGTGCTTGTAATGGACGCGCTTGTTGGAGAGGCTACCGTCCTCGGGGTTGTAGTCCCACGCAAAGATGGTGTTCTCAGGCGTGTGGGTGAAGTACATGGTCTTGCCATCCGGGGACCAGCCAAGGCTGTTGGGGATGATCAGACCCGACTCGACCTCCTCCTTGGACTTTCCAAAGTCAAATCGGTAGAGGGATCCTGGATACAAACAAATGCCATGTCAGAATCCACATTACTTTGGGAAAAAGAGAAAAAAAAATCATGTCATGACGGCCCAATTCTCGTGTCCTGCTGTTGCTGTCACTGTTGCTCTGCTGTTGTGTTGTGCATAGGAGGTCCAAGAGACCCGCACCCTCCACAGTGGGCTCCATTGACAGCACAAGCGCGTCACATCGAGCGTCCGGGATGTTCCACATAACACCCCCTGACAGAGACAGGGTCGATTGCCGAATTGGGCCTCCGGGCTGCCACGTGGGGAGGAGATACTGGCTGACCGGAGCAGAAGAGGGACTTTTGACTATTTTTTTTTTTTTTTTTTTTTCTCTCACTCACCTTCGGTTTGCGGCTCACCAACATGAAAGTCATTCATGGTGCCGAGCCAGAAACGACCATGCGGATCAACGGCACCGTCGTTGGACCTCATTCTGTCGGGGTCGCCGCCAATGCGGGTCAAGTAGTCATAGTGACCCGTCTTTCGGTCGAGGAGGGCAATGCCATACTTGAGGGCCGCTAGAATCTTTTCCTGCGGATCCTGACCCTGAATGTTGGCCGTGACACCAATCGGGGAATCTAGCTGGAGGGTCTTGAGCGAATCTGGCCCTTCAGTGACCGAGACGGTGTGGAGTCGCTTCTGCTTGATGTCGAGAAAGCGCAGCGTCTGGGTGCCCTTTTCGAAGTAGGGACCCTCTCCGAGCTGGCAGTGCAGATCCAGATACGGCTCGGTGACGTGCCACTGCTGCACTTGGTTCTGGTCGGCCATGGTCTCGTCGTTTGACCAAGTGTCGAGAGAGGTCTTGGCGGTGGTTGGGAACCTGAGACGGTAGTGCGATGGGTGGTGCAGGCAACTCCTAGGATGGAAAGGATGGTGATGCCTGTTGGGTGAACAGAAGAGGCAAGTCCAGAGGAGGCGGAAGTTCCGTATCGAGACCCAGTCGAGACCCAGTTGAGCGGATGCGGTGACGAAGCAGGCGGGACTAGTGAAGCAAGTGCTTGACTAGAGTCTGCTTGCTGGAGCTGTCGAGGTGACTGGCGTTGACGATGACTGGTTGCCGGGCACGAGCAAGTTGCAGCCGGAGGGCTATGGCACGGCAGCTACACCGTACCAAGTGGGCGTTGGCTTGGGCGTCTGTCACTCACTCACTGGTCAGCGCGCGTGTCTACCGGAAGTATCGCCGGATGGTTTCTGAGGGCCGGGGATGTGTCGATGGCTCGGGATGTCAGCATGGTCAGGATGGCCGATGGCCGACATGGCTCGATGGAGGTCGTCGGCCGCAAAGAAGCGGTGTGTGTGGGTTTTGTACAATACAACTCAACCTACATGCGTACTTGCGTTACAGAGTCTGCGGATGCAGGCTGATCAAACTCTTTGTTCATGCACGTCGTCGTGCTTGCAGACAGGCGAGGCGATGTTCTCTGTTCTCTATCCAGTTCCAGCTCCAGCCGGACATGGAGGAGTTTCCATCTTTTTGTCTTTTATACACCCGACCGTAGCAGAGGCCAAGGTGTCGCCAAATAAGTGTTGACGTTATCGGCGTCCATCGAGTGGGTCGCCGCAGTGCGGAGCAACAATGCCCGTGTCATAGACTGCCATCCGAGGGAGCCCCTCCGCACCGGATCCCTTATCAGGCTTCCCGGCTTCCGGAAAGCGGGCCTGGCATCCGTATACACGCGAGCGAGCCGGCCGCCAAATTGTGTGCGCTGCTGTACTGTATGCTGCGGCTCTCGAGGGCCGCGTGTGTCTCGGACCAAAGGCAGGAAGGTTGCAACGAAACCACGCGCGCACTGCACTGCGCTGTCACGTCGGTTGGGTCGGCTGTTATGATGCCGCCGTGGGTTGCACTGCTGTGAAGGAGTGCTGGATGGAGTGCTGGGAGTGCAGCGTGATCGATGTGAGGTGAAAAGTTAAAAGATTCGGTTGGTTGGCCTGGTTGGTCCTGCCCGCTGGTCGTGGAAAGGTACCCGTAGCCTAGTCCGTGCGCCGTTGCTTACTTGTACGACGCTAGGTACATAGTGCAGTGATCCAATGTGAGGTACCTTGATGGCACCAGACATTCCTGCCACTTGCAAAGGAGGTGTCTTGGCTTGCGGCACAGCTACCCGCCCGAAAGACAGCGACTTCCAAAATGTTTGCTGGCAGCTTGGATATCATGTGTAGCGATTGCAGCGCTTGAAGTCCATCGATCCAATCAATCCACCCTTTGAGACCGGGAAGCTGGAGTTTTCCCCTACAGATAGTAAGTAAAGACACCTCAGTTGAAAGTAAGGAACAAAAGATATGGCTTACCAGTTGGCGGTCATCTGGAATTACTGAAGCTTGCGATACGACATGTCCAGAAACATACCTCTAGGGGCTTCCCAAAAGAGCCAGCGTTGCATGTCAGCTCCGCCGCCGTTGAGCAATCGGATGTCGGCCATGAAACATCATGATGGTGAATGACCCTGGTGCCTCAATTGCAACCGCCAATCCCCGACATTCAGGACGTGAAAGCCTCATCCAAATCGAGGAAGCCGACCATGCTCAACGTTGGCACTCTGTGGGAAAGAATTCAATGGGCTTCCAAACTTGGAGGCAACTGATGTTTTTGCTGCAAGAGAACTATCGTCGAATCGGAGGTGTTGTTCAATTCCAGTCGTCCTTTCTGCTGTTTCAGCGTTACGGCTAATACAGACACCGGTCAAGTTGTGACAATGTTACGGTAAAATATGTAATGCAATATCTGGGCCAAAAGTCTCGAGTCAGTATACGCACATGTCTTGATGTCGCTCCCGCGCCCTGCACATTCTCTGAGGACTGCTAAAAGTCTCTGAGCTGGTCCCGGTGAATAACTTACAGCAAATAGCTAGAAATAGGGCAGCGTCCGGCTACCATTCCTGACCCTAGAAGATGGAAGGAGGCATTTCTGATCATCCATGGTGGTGTTGAGTTGAATCACTCATCTTTCTAGTTAGGCTGTTAGGCCTGCCCTGTTGTCTGTACGTAAGAGGCATCTAAGCAAGGGTACTCTTTTCGCCCGTGCATTTGATACAGTTGATGTTGGAACTCCCGTCATTGCTAGACGCAGGAAGGACAGGCCCATCGACCGTTTGGGAGCCTAGGGCCCCAAGACAGGAACACATGATCGACCGCTGCTGCATGCACTATATGCCCTGGTCAGCTTCTAGGGCTCTTTATAGGCCAGGCGAGCAAGGCAGATGCGGGTAAGGCCCCATGGTCCCAGTCTTCTTGAGGCCTTCCCTTGTCCTTGGTCCCCTAGCGCAAAGCCATCTAGTTGGAACAGCCGTATACGTAGAGGTAACTTTTGCGCTCGCTCGTATGGGCGAAAGGAGAAGATGAGTTGCAACTGAGGTGTTGGCATCCAACAAGCAAACATGGTCTCACACGGGTGTTCTGTATGGGATTGGGGTGGTATCGAGGACAAACCATCCGTGGTCAGTACTTGACGTACTCGCTTGCTTTCGGAACTGTTCTCGTCGACTTTCGGCGCTTGACCGTAGCTTCAACTTTGAGGGGGGCAAATATGAAGCGTCATAGGTAGGAGAACATGGAAATTCTTTTAACTTGCTCCCTTCCAAGGCCCCACGGAGCCTCTGCCGGCTAGGTGCATCCGGGTGGAAATTGTAGCGTCAATAGCGGTAGATCGAGCTGGAAAGGCGGTCAAAAATCCATTGTCGAATCGGAAAACGCGCCAGCCCTAGGCTCCTGTGCTTCTGGGGAAGATATGGGGTACAGAGCAGCAACGGTAGACCCATCGTTATCCGTCGTTTCCATCCATTGTTGATGTCATGAATCGTAAATTGAAAAGCTGTTAAGAACGTAAGTAAGTTTTATGTTTCGAGACAGTCGCAAGTGACGGCACTTACACTTTCGGCCATTGGGCAAAGATTTAAAAAAAAAAAAAATTTATTTAAAAAATAGCTCAAAAAAAAAAAAAAAAAAAAAAGGGAAAAAAAAAAAAAAAAAAAGGGATGACAACAAAATAGGAGCAGCAAAAAAAAAAAAAAAAAAAAAAGCGTGAACGTTGGGTTGGATGGTTGTTTTTCTGAACTTGATATCAAGTGGTTGGATTCATGTCGTCACTGTATGATTCTGCATGTGGTACCCTGTCAGACTGTCAGGGCCCGTGCACTAATCAAAGCCCCGACACACGCAGGCGGTTAGAACGCGGGGATCTGTATGCCATAGCTGCAGCGCGTTCCCGCTTCAACTTCAGCTCTTCCCTTGACAACCAACCTCGAGGGGAACGATGGCGACAATCAAAGTCTTTGGGAGTGGCCTTGTATCGAACAACCGCTGCCAGTTGCCCCCTCTGGAACCCTCAAGATTGGCCATGCCACGTTGTTTGAGATCAATGTCCTTCAACGTCCCGTATCTCAGAGAATTGACACGCTAGGTACCGAATGCAATTTCGGGTTCCCACGACGTCAGAGCCACCGGCGTCACAATTGTGATGGGCTGGGCCTGCTGCCTACACACAGCATGGAGTGATCTCAATGCGGAACCCGGGAGAACGGATCCAAAATTGACAATCTCGTCTTCTGACCAGTAATCACAGGAATATGCGATGTTGGACCAAATATCAATACGCCGACCTGGATGGGATTCTGGAGGAATCACCTCATCCGGTCACACTGAGCAAATGCGCGACCCAGCTCTCAGCAACCATCCGACCTTGGAACGGGCAGAGGCATCAAGATGGACGAACCAGTCTGTGCGCTTCGAATGACCGAGCACCGAGCAGACTGGGCACCATCAGATGCTGTCCTTCACCTCCCCCGTCCCTGGCGCCAACGACACGATACAAAAGGGAATGTTTACCCACCCAGGCTGAGCCAGGGGACCACACCACACCACCCGAGGCATCGCGTGAACCAGGTCGCATGTTGGGCCGCAGAGGTTAGGAAACCAGCAGAAGCCTCACTTTGAATGCGCAAGGAGCAAGGCCAACGCCAATTTGAGCACGAGATGTGTTCAATTTGCTACCAATACGCCATTGATCCTGACCGAGGGTTGCAGTCGACGTATTCCCCAATCAACCACGGGCCATGGCCGATCAAGATACAGATGCCGTTATGTACCTGCTTCTTGATATGGATTTGGCGGTACAATCTCGGGTCGACAATGCCCCAAACAGTCAGATGGTACGGTAGCAGCCCAACCAGAGGGAGTATGAAATCTGCAAGACAACCCAATATCTGGATCACCTGCTGCTGTTGCATGTGGGAGGCGTGTCAAGGCAAGTTCAGGCGTTAATCGGTGCGAGCTCAGTGGTGAGTTGTTTGTTCCAAAGTTGCTCGACTGAAGTTATGGCTGAGCCCTGGATGCACCCGATTAGGAAAACATCATATGCTTTTGCGAAAGAGAGGAAAGAAGTGGTGTTGCCGAAGTATTCTATGGAAAGTTCCAAACGCCCAGCCAAGGTCCATGTAACGAAGAGTGGAAACAGAACTGAAAACAGTCGCGCCAGATACTAGGTACCTTGTCATCCAGAGAAACGGACGCACTGTGCAATTTGCAGCAGAAATGAATATACAGTCCAGCACAGCGAGGGGGATTTCTTACAAAAATACAACCGTAAGTTACATCAGCCCTTCGCACTTGCAATCCGACAACAACCACTCCCATCGCTACCTCTACATTCTTGGAGATTGATATCGGCTTTGGCAGGTGCGACAGGAGGAAAGGCTTCTTCTACATTTCGGCCTCATATACCGGCGAGCATTCGTGGAAATAGGGCAAGTGGAAGGGAGGCCAGGGCAAAGCGGCCCCGGGCAGCCCTTACTCTCCGCAATTTTGGACTTTGTGGGCTTGCACACTTTCCACAATTTGCACCTATCCATTAGTTTCCACTTATCACCATCCATCTCGAGATCTCCCATTGGATTCGACACACACAATCAAGGCCAGCTTGGCGATGGCGTCTTCAAAATTCAAAACGGAGGTCAAGCATCACTTTTATTTGGCCTGCTTGGCTGGGAGATCCGATACTGGATAGCCGGTGATCTTACAATGGATCGCACATTTGGCTTCAGCTTTCCCACTCGCCGACTTCCTCCCCCTTCCCTCCCTCACAGTGCAGCATCACTGTACTGAGGTGTCAGACAGGCCCGAGCGAGATGCCAAGAACGGCCGCTCTGTAAGAACCATCACGGAAAATGGAGTGTTGCAACAATTGAGCAAAACTGACCACTCAAGGCACTCCACAGAACCCGATCTGGTAGCCACATCACCATGACAGCCTCTGAAGCAACACTGCTACCATTCGCTGCTACGCTGCCTCCTCCCCGGTCCCATACGTACATACATACATACCGGACAGGCAGAGTGGCACGCCTACCCGACCCTACAACTCCAAAACCTCAGGCGGTGCGCCCACGATCTCATGCCTTATTTGACCACTCTGGCGAACGACATTCCCGCGTTTATTTTGGGTTCGGTGGCTTGCCGGGATCAACTTAATCAACGCACGAGCCCGTAATTTATTCGGGATGGCATCAGCCGCTGCAACTGAGCATGACTGGCATCAGGATACGCAGCACGCACCCGTCTGTCGCCATGCGACATCACCTCACATCAGTCTCCTGGGAGGAAATGCCTCCCCAGGCTCTGTCGTCTTTTTATCACCTCCCGTCAGCCGGCTTGCTCAACCCCATTAGCTCCGCCCTGTCGTGTAATCCCTTCACCATCTCTGCTTGGTGCGGATTCCCTACAAAACAAGCTCCCGGCCGACCCCAGATTGGCCCATGCAGCCGCCGCCGCGACTTTGCAAAGTCTACCGGAGCCACTCAACGACAACATTCTGCGCGCAAAACCTGACTACGCCGTACAACGTGTAGCCAGTGGGTCATGCGAACCTCTTTTTCTCCATGGCCTTTTCACTTCGCCCGCCCGACTTTGAGAAACCATGGCCACAATCGGCAGGTCTTTTGATAAGCTTTGGATCTCGGGAACATCCCGTGGCGAGCCAGAGTCAGGATGAAAGATCCAAGAGGCCAAGGAGGCCAAGCGAGACTGTAAGCACCAGTCCTCTGTCTGGAATAGGATCGTCATATCGCATCGTCCGCCTCATTCACGCACATGAAGCAGGGTGTACGGAGCGAGCACCTGCTTTCCCCCGGGAAGCTGGCTGGGTTCTCACCAGTGGTAAATCTCTTTGTGGATCGCTATGGTTTATTACGCGCATCATCGCTACCGCTCTCTCCACCCGTGATAACCTTCGGGATGGCGACATACCTACACAGTATGCGCCCTGAACTGGTTTTCTTGACTGCGTGCAGCGAGATTGCTGGATTGTCCTCACGGAAAATATTCGGTTCGCGCGAGGTACCGCAGCTCTAAGGACCCTCGGGCTGTGGTATTTTTGATACGCCCCAATACCAATGCGATGTTACCAGTTCTCTGCTCGTCTCACATATAACGTCTACCACACCTAAGATGAGTGATACCGAGAGTCTCAGCCTTCGGTCATCTTGAAAACGGCACGGTGCGCGTTTATAACCAATCCGGAAATTTCTTCAAAAGCCATGCCAATGCTCGCCTCAACTGCTCTGCGGAAAGTCTGAATCGACCTACACTATTGTCAGCGACGAAGGTGAGTTGCCATTTTAGACTACATAGCCGCCTAGGCACAGTCAACATCACGGGCTTTCAGGACTTGCATTTGCCGCTTGATGCGAGCGATCCACCACCAACCCAGTTGCTTGGGCCGTATGCTCGGGTCATGCCAAGATGATCTATTGTCGTGCTGTGTGGATGTCTATGGCCTTTTGGGCCTCATGGACCTCACCACATGTACGTTATTATCGTGGTGGAATCGCGAAACAGTGACCGGTTAGCCCTCATTGATCCATCCACCTCCAGGCCAACATACCCATGTTACCCACAGGGTGGACTCTCACAGAAACGGCCAGCGAAAAAGGAAATCCGAGCAAGATAATTTGAGCGAAAAAGGCAGCACACCAACCGACAGTGTTAGGTAACATTGAGCCTGTCTGTTTCCCCAGGAGGATCGTTGCCAACAGCCCTGTCAAGAACTTTGGTACCTACCAAGCGACCATCACTTCAACATGACATGGTTCCTCTAACCCCTGCTTTTCGTCCGTTGCCGCACCCCGGCAGCTACTTACCACTCACTGCCTGCTGACTACCGTGTACCTATTTCGCCATTATCCCCGTCTTGACTTTTCCACCCCAGTACACTACGTACCGGTACCAGCACGACCACCCAGCAGAGAAAAAGCAACTTGAATAGAACGGGTTAAGCAGCAGGAGCATGGGTGAACAATAACAGGCCCCGGAATATGCTGGTTACTGTGGCCGGCGGAACTGAGATACCCTTGGAGCTCACACGTCAACTCAAGGGTTGTGGCTTGTGTCGTGGGACGAGTTATCCTCCCCTATCCAGTATCCACGGCCTCTGCTTTCCAGGTAAAGCAACAGTGGTCCAATCAGATTATATAGTCTGGATCCTGCCGGCGGGGACCTTGAAGCGCGATTTTGCCTCAACTCGATACCGATTCCTGCTCACCACCGTCACAGCAACCTGACTTTTTGTGAAGCCAACGAGAATTCCACCACAGACAGACGGACTATCCCGAGAAGCTAACGAGACATAAGGTCCTGAAAGGAGGCTTCATCTTGACCTACGCCAACCCAAGCGGCGAACCTCTAGCGCTACGTGGTCTCCAGGACCATTCAGTTGGCAGAGTCTCCTCCTGACGGCTATGAGTGGCCCAGAAACCTGGATCTCATCCCACCTTGTCACCGCAACTACTCTTGCATCGATTACCCACTGGGACTTCTTGTCTACGCCTGTCATTTTTTCTCTACTCCGCTAGAGGCCATTGGGCTATCCGCCAGACGAGCCTCCTGTCGAAGTAGTCCCCGCTAGCCTCCACCCGCTGCTAGGCTCTTTGGCTCTTGTCTTTACGCCAGCTTTGTCTCTAAAGCTTGACAACTTGGCTGACACGTTGGTTGTACGGGCCTCGACCACGTACCCGACATCTTGCAGCTCATCCTGTGTGTGCGTTTGCCGCTACTGCAGTCCGGAACCGACACCGTCCTCGCTATTCGAACGTGGAGCTGCCAATACTTCCGACTCGGGTGCGCAGCATAAAGACTCACCCACCCGTCGCACCAGCCGCTAGCAACACTCTCTTCTTCAACAAGGTGATTTAATAAACCATTCTATACAGTGCCACCGTTAAATCCGTCACGCTGGCTATCTCAATTCTTTCCCGTCCCCAAGAGCCTCCCCGGAGGTGGCTCGGCGCGGACTCTTCAGACAACACCTCTTCCATTGCCTACAGCTTTGGGTCTCCGAGCACCACTTTTGGACACAACGGCTTACCAAGTGTCAGCTCCGGGTTTACACTCGCTTCGCAGGGTTTCAACGGCGACAACGGTCGCCAGTATCATGGTGCTGAAGACCACAGAAGCGAAGGGGAACAGGCAATGTCACAGAGGGGTCCTGCACCTCATCCTCCCGCGCTCTCATCGTCGCGTGACGTTCACTCCCCGTCGCCGCCCTACCGAGCCTTTGGTCAAGATGGATCGAGCCATCAACTTCATCGTAACCCAAGCAACACCTCAATGACCAATATCGACGGAAACCACGCTCAAACAGGATCGAAAACTTCCGGTGTGCACAACATTCTGAACCCGTCCGAACCTCAAGAGCGTCTTCCTACACCTGCCCCATCTCTCCCAATGCCCTCTGTCCAGAGGGCAGCCCACAGGCAACCATGAGAATGGGCCAGTATCCAGTTGATGGGTCCCCATCTCGCTTTTATGGTTATCAGACGCAAAGCATGCCTGGTTCCCGAACTACCACTCCGGTTCCCGCCACATCCTCCATGGTACCTCCTCCGACTTCCGAAAACGAATCTCCTATTACCAACCACCCCTTCGCAATGGCAATGTCGAGGAGGCTGTTAACCCCAAGGTCCCCAAGACCATCAAGCTTGAGTCGTGGAACAACAAGGCCCATGGAAGGCCAACAGCTCCCAAGCATGCCATCCCATATTCAAAGAACCCCAACGCCGTCTCACAACACCTCACCACTCAGTGGTCCACCGACTTTCTCAGGTCCTCGCCCCTTTGCTGGCTCGATTCACGGACAGGGAGCTTCTCTACCTCCCCCGCCTTCGCAGCCGAATACTGGGATGGTTCCTCCGTTATCACAGCCGCTTCTGGGTCAAAGACTTCCCCCGCCTGTAACAGCAGGGCCGCTACAATCTGGTCCTCTTACTCGGGAGCCCACGGTAAGACCTGTCTCTCACCCATCCTTCCCCAGTCCTCCAACCACGACTACTGGACCCGTATCAGGCGGGTTGACCGCCGCTTATCTGCTTCAGGACCGAAGCAGGCTTGCAGTCGATGGACGGCAACATATGATTACCATCACACCATCTGTTGGTGAAGAAATCTTGGTCCCAGTAGATATCCACCAGGGCTCGAGACAGGCGGATGCGAAGCGACAGCGAAACGCGGGAGCGTCGGCGCGGTTTAGGCAGCGGAAGAGGGAGATTGAGCGAAACAGGGAGAGGGACTTACAGAGACTGGAAGTTGAGAGCCGAGAGTGGAACAAGAAGATGCAGGATTTGACTACTGAGCGCGACTACTTCCGCAGCGAAGCAGAACGTCTGAGGAAGATTGTGGCTGGCATCCCTGAATTCAGCAAGCTGGCAGACCCAGCGCAACCGACTCCTGTATCATCACCCCCGAGCGTACCCTCGTTCTCGGTCGAGAACAGCCCCCGTACGGGTCCGCTACCCCCACCGCAGCCGCAATCTCAACCTTCGCAGTCACACCAGCTTTCAAACCCTTATACCCATTCACGCACCCGGTCGCATCCCGACAACACCCATTCGTCTCCATACGACGAGTCCTTGACACTCGAGAGGCCTAGAAGGCGGAGGAGGACCGACACTGAGCCGTCGCCCACTACTGGAGCTTACCCACATAACACGGGCGCTCCCATGGCCATGCCCCAATCAGCCTTCGGAATGGCTCACTCACCTCATCTTCCTCCTCCAAGATTACCCCCTCTTCGGGGACTTGATCAGCCTCAATCGACCACAACCCCACCTCCGGCGTCCAACGGACCGCATTCCGTCCCCTTGACTTCGCAGAGTCCATCAGGCAGTGGCTATCAGCCTTATCCTCCTACTCCCGCTCCTAGGCCAGAGATAGGGTGGGCTATCAACCAAAGAGGCCCCCTCGAAGGTGCTCATAGACATCCGATGCAAGGGTCTCATGGTCATCCTGAGAGTCTACGAAGGCCAGTTGAGCAATGGAGGCATGAGACGCATTCCAACCGACCTGCCGCTTAACGAGTGATCTCGCTCGGGCCCAATCACACAAAATCACGCTCTTTATACATGCATCTTTCTTTTGTTTCTTCCCCCGATCTAGACTTATTTGAAAGCAAGCCTGGGCAACCGGCAATGACTGTTTTCATCGAGAAGAGCGAGTTTTTTTCCCCTAGACTTTGTGTCTTGTTACGTTCGTTTTGTATCAAAATTTCATTTGTTATGAATATTCACTTCGCTCAATGTTTCATATTCACTGTTACTACTTTTACTGTTTCCTCCTGAGCCGAGCTTGTGTTCGAGCGTCCTACGGCTGGTCCTTACCGCTACCTACCCTTCGCTTACGCACCTAATCCTTCTACTACCACGGCTTATCAACCTCCTAATCGGCTTTCCGATATCTCAACTCCGCTGCCTCATTAGTCTGTTAATACCCCTGTCTATAACGGGGTCGAGGGGGTGTGATCACGGGGAAATGTCCCGTGTTTTCTCATTTTGGTGTGCAGCCAGGGTCATCATCATTGGGTTGGTGTTTTACGAGGATTTGGCTTTTCATCATATCTGGGTGCGGCGCTTTGCATTTTTGGCCGTTCGTTATATTGCATCTGGACTTGTTTTATTTACGGGGGACCATCGGGATCATAATTTCTGCTTCGTATAATATGGGATTGGCAAATCATGGGTACATCCCGTCGGCGGGATGTCAGGGGCTCGAAACTGTCTGGGAGACAGACGACCCCTTTAATTGGCTAAGGCGGAGTTTGTTATCAAAAGCTACGCCGAGGATGAAGTGTGCGGTTTAGGAATAGTCATAAATGGAGCTTAATAGTTGGGCAGAAGAACAGACTACTGTATGTATGTCTTTGACTTACCGCGCTTTTTGAGATATGAAATTGTGAGACCTGCGGAACTTGAATGCAAGGTTCGTCTGAAGTTCGAAGAGTGATCAGATCTCACACTCGCCGTCACATTCAGCCCCGTCACACCAATGCTTCTGACCTCGGGGTGAGCTTGGAAATTCAAATGAGGATTTTTTATTTTTTTCAACTTTTCGAGCGGATATTTCGGGTCACGGAAACTCGAACGAAACATTACACATAACGTGAGAGATACAAATTCTTGATAAAACTGAGGTCGCAATCACTCATTTTAGCAACCTGGTCCTGTGCAAGTGCTCCATCTAATCACACTCCACCCCCACCCCCATAGAGAGCGTGCCATACTGCCATTCTTTCATCAACATGTGGTACCCCTGAAGTACACAGTTTCCAATTATCAATATCTCAAGAACATGGACACTACACTACCTCTCGTGAAGTGACATCATTACCTACAGGTACTTTAAGATTTG